CCGTCAAGAACTCCTCATGAGTAGACTGAAGGGTTTTTTTTAAAAACATGGATTTCAGCTTTTCCCCTTGAATTTATTCTTTTTAATACTTTTTTGGGCTTCTCCATGAATTCTACTTGTAGTATATTTTGCGTTTGCAGGCAGGATAGGTATTTTTTTGATGTAATCGCATGCATACACAACCTCATAAGACAATTCACCTAACTCTTTAACCAGGATAAGAGTATCTCCAACCCATTCGGTAAAAGGCCATTCTTAGCTATTTTGAAGGGCCAATCCCTAAAATTTCTCTCCAACCCACTCTATCCCACTAACAATTTTATCAAATCCAATTTTCACTCGCTACTTCTGGTGAGCCTCATTCACTCACTATCTGTTCTTTTGCACCAAAGTGCCTTCATCCTCTTCATCAGAGTGGTGGTCTGCATCGTCAATGGTTGTGCCTTCATTGTCTTCATCACAGTGGTGGTCTTCATCGTCTTCACCTAGGTATGGATCCCTCTCTCTCTCTCTCTGCCCAAATCTGAGCTGATAGAAACCCTAGCGCCCAAATCTGCAAAACCCATTCAACGCTCTAGTTTGTGTCGGCTTCAAAACTCCTTGAAATATATTAGTGATATCTTGAAATTGATTATATGGTTTTAATTTCTCTTGGGTGGTTTTGCTGAGAATGGAATTCAATCCACATGACTTTTCAAAAAAGAATTTGATCCACAACTTTCAATCGTCTCTTATTCCCTCTCTCCCCAACCCCAAATTCACTCTCTCTTTCCCTCTCTTCTCAGTCCANTCATAAAGCCAATTATACTCATATATTTTCTTGTCTTTCATACCTATTTGAGTTTCAAAATATTAACTAGATAAACNCCCCAAATTCACTCTCTCTTTCCCTCTCTTCTCAGTCCAAATTCCAAAAGAACAACAAGAAGAAGAGACTGCTTCACAGAATATCAGAAATCCCACAAATGTCCAATTTTTGAGGCAAATCCTTTCTTACTAGTAGTTTTTTTTTTTGGTTCTATTTTTTCAATGAACAATGATGTATCAATATCATAATATATATTTGTGCTATCAAGAATGACTATTATAACATGCTTTCAACGTCTTCAAAATTTAATCTTGATTATGATGGTGATTCTTGATTATTGCAGATAAATCTTGAGTGATATAGATCAAAATTTAATTTGTCCATTGTTAGTACAAAATTTAATTTGTTTTGCATAATGTGATCTAGATCTTTTATGAATAATATGTATATATGTTTTTGCGGCTGTAGTTATAGATCTCATGTGTATATGGTTTTTGTTATGGCCATGGTTTAAATTGATTATTTGGTTTTTATCATAGCTATGGTTTAAATTGATTTTTTGGTTTTTATCATTTGAATATGCTCGTAGACTTGGTTTTGAAATTTTGATGACGTGGCATGGCACGCCATTGTGCCATTTCATCAATATGGCGATGACGTGGTAGGCTACATGACATTTTCGATTTAAATTATTGAAAGTTAGTTGAAGTAGTTAGCTAAAATAAAGAGCATGGTTAGAGTAAACTTGTAAAAAGGACTTTCTAAAATAGAGAATGTAATATTTAAATATATTTTGAGTANTATGGCCATGGTTTAAATTGATTATTTGGTTTTTATCATAGCTATGGTTTAAATTGATTATTTGGTTTTTATCATTTGAATATGCTCGTAGACTTGGTTTTGAAATTTTGATGACGTGGCATGGCACGCCATGGTGCCATTTCATCAATATGGCGATGACGTGGTAGGCTACATGACATTTTCGATTTAAATTATTGAAAGTTAGTTGAAGTAGTTAGCTAAAATAAAGAGCATGGTTAGAGTAAACTTGTAAAAGGGACTTTCTAAAATAGAGAATGTAATATTTAAATATATTTTGAGTGNATTTCTTTGTTTTATTACAACCTCTCGTGAATCTAATTTTTTATTGCTCATATAACTAATATTTTGAAAATAAAACTTGAAATGAAGGAAAAACAGCTTAAAAGTCAAAAGTATGAACCATTAATAAAGAAGATGCCACATAAAAACTATGCAGAAACTGCTTAAGACATGATTTGCTTCTTTTTTTCCCTTTCAATCATTCGCACAGAAATCTTCTGAAGATTATATTAACAAGTGTAGGAGAACAGTAAATAGAAATGTGAATCATAAACAAGAAAATTCTATACAAGAAATTATGGACAGGGTTTTAAGGATCACAAATGTGGTTAACACAAAAATACCTAACATAACATGACAATCACCACATAAAAAATTAAATAACAGAAGCCAAAAAAAAATTACTGCAGAAAAAACATACTAACACTCTAAAAACACTTACGAATTAGAAGTGACTAAAACTACAATTTATAGAGTTTACATAAATAAATTCATTTAATAAAAATTTGTTCATGATAAATGAATAAATAAGAATAGAAAATTTTCTAACCAGCAATATTCTAAAACTTATCCAATCAAAACCACAATGCATCAAGGGTTTGCATATAAGATAAAAGCTTCATGCCTGGACCTCTACAATCTAAATCCAAATAAGCATCTGAAAAAGTATAAAATTTCAACCAATTAATAACGACACTTGTAATCCAACTCCATTTTGAGAATCTTTTAAAATGCATCTAAAAAGAATCGGTTGTACCAAGAAAACATAGACCCCTTATGTTTTAAAAGTGAAGACATAGATTTTTTGGAAGAGAGAAGGGACTATTAAGAGAGCAAGCAAAAAAACTTCAAACTATAGCTTATTCAAATTACGGGTGAGAAGTTGATGTAATTTTTTATTTCATTTATCATTTTTTTGGTTCACTTTTTTTTTTGGGTAGAGTTTATCAATTTTTAGATAAAATATAAAAAATAGGTCTTTTGAGGACGTCTATTAACTTATAGTCAAATAACTTCAAACCTATTTATTAAATTTTGTAACAGAGCGATTGGAATTGATTCAAACCTTAACATTCTATAATCAAATTTATTAAACTGAATTTTTTATTACTCATATTCTAATATAGTATTATAAATAAAAATTGTATGTTTCAAAAAGNGAATCATAAACAAGAAAATTCTATACAAGAAATTATGGACAGGGTTTTAAGGATCACAAATGTGGTTAACACAAAAATACCTAACATAACATGACAATCACCACATAAAAAATTAAATAACAGAAGCCAAAAAAAAATTACTGCAGAAAAAACATACTAACACTCTAAAAACACTTACGAATTAGAAGTGACTAAAACTACAATTTATAGAGTTTACATAAATAAATTCATTTAATAAAAATTTGTTCATGATAAATGAATAAACAAGAATAGAAAATTTTCTAACCAGCAATATTCTAAAACTTATCCAATCAAAACCACAATGCATCAAGGGTTTGCATATAAGATAAAAGCTTCATGCCTGGACCTCTACAATCTAAATCCAAAGAAGCATCTGAAAAAGTATAAAATTTCAACCAATTAATTTCGACACTTGTAATCCAACTCCATTTTGAGAATCTTTTAAAATGCATCTAAAAAGAATCGGTTGTACCAAGAATACATAGACCCCTTATGTTTTAAAAGTGAAGACATAGATTTTTTGGAAGAGAGAAGGGACTATTAAGAGAGCAAGCAAAAAAACTTCAAACTATAGCTTATTCAAATTACGGGTGAGAAGTTGATGTAATTTTTTATTTCATTTATCATTTTTTTGGTTCACTTTTTTTTTTGGGTAGAGTTTATCAATTTTTAGATAAAATATAAAAAATAGGTCTTTTGAGGACGTCTATTAACTTATAGTCAAATAACTTCAAACCTATTTATTAAATTTTGTAACAGGGCGATTGGAATTGATTCAAACCTTAACATTCTATAATCAAATTTATTAAACTGATTTTTTTATTACTCATATTCTAATATAGTATTATAAATAAAAATTGTATGTTTCAAAAAGTCATTATTCTAACTATAAAAAAAAGATTTAAAAAAATAGTTAAAGTTAGGTACCACTCCAAAAAAAAAAATGTTAATGTACTATGTACCATGTTTTTAAATATTTTTATATGTATCATGTTTTTGAGTATTTTTATTATTTATTGGCTAAAATTTATCAAATTTTGGGGTTAAAAGATTAAGTGTATTTTTTATTGGTATTTTAATTATTCACTTACCTTTACAAAAAACAATTCATTTTTATTACTTATCAACTTTGTATTTCAAATAAATTTAATAATAAATTAATGAACTAAATTTTTTTCACATACAACGCACGTGTGCATTGTTAGTAATTAATAAATGAATAAGTGAATCTAATTAAAATAAATAAATAAATAAAATATACAATACGACTTATTTATATATTAATTATTCATAATTTATATACAACATAAATTTAATATAATACAATTTATTAGACAGTTATATAATAAAATAGGAGTGTGTTTGAATTTTATCTCAGTCATATTTTCTTCCTCAAAATCATCATCAATTACTTACCTCACTCATCATTTTTTTGTCAGACTCAAACATCAAGTTACATCATTTATACAATTATTTATATATTTCATTCCTAAAAATCACACGACTTATTTTTATCATATATTTAATTATTTAATATTTAATTAATTTATAATTAATATATTTTTAAAAAATTTAATTTCATGAAATTAATTTTTTGAACGTTCGAATTTTATATGTTATTGTGCCTTCAGCCACGGGTTATGGCCAGTCAATTAATAAATAAATAAATTATAAATAAAATATTTTTTGAGACAAATTCTTTCCCTCGACACGATTGACAAATGTAGACTCCGGAGCACTGTTTAGTTTCTTCGCACACGACTACGATTGCGACTGCGACTGCGACTGCTACTCTGGTTGAAATTGAAGAAGAGTACCTACTTACATTTTAGGTTTAACTTCAGAAAAAAGTGTACCTTTTGGCTATAAAATTCTGGTAATTGAGTTCCAAATCCTCATCACCTCAAAAAATGGCAGCCAATTTTTGGACTTCATCACACTAGTAATTCTCAAAACCCTCTCAATTTCAATCTTTTTAGGGTTTTCTTTGTCTCCTGTATAAACGTTTTGTTTTCTTTGTTTTTTTGGGGGGTTTTAGCTTTATTGATTTGATATCTTTTTCGTTCTTGTGTTTTCATTGTGATTATATGCAGCAAAGAGCTTCTGGACCCGGAAAAGGTGGATGTGTTGCATCCAATTGACAAGGAGAGGGGGATCACCCTCGAAGATTTCAAGCTCATTAAGATGCATATGGCCAATTGTATACTCTCTCTCTCTGTCTCTTTCTCTAAGAGTATCTCTATATATGACTCTTCATCTGTGTTGTAGCTGCATAATCGAAAATTGTTTGCTTTGAGTAATCTTGGATTATGGATGGAAGTTATATTATCAGCTGTGAAATCTTTTTTGCCCGTCAAGAACTCCTCATGAGTAGACTGAAGGGTTTTTTTAAAAAACATGGATTTCAGCTTTTCCCCTTGAATTTATTCTTTTTAATACTTTTTTGGGCTTCTCCATGAATTCTACTTGTAGTATATTTTGCGTTTGCAGGCAGGATAGGTATTTTTTTGATGTAATCGCATGCATACACAACCTCATAAGACAATTCACCTAACTCTTTAACCAGGATAAGAGTATCTCCAACCCATTCGGTAAAAGGCCATTCTTAGCTATTTTGAAGGGCCAATCCCTAAAATTTCTCTCCAACCCACTCTATCCCACTAACTATTTTATCAAATCCAATTTTCACTCGCTACTTCTGGTGAGCCTCATTCACTCACTATCTGTTCTTTTGCACCAAAGTGGCTTCATCCTCTTCATCAGAGTGGTGGTCTACATCGTCAATGGTTGTGCCTTCATTGTCTTCATCACAGTGGTAGTCTTCATCGTCTTCACCTAGGTATGGATTCCTCTCTCTCTCTCTCTGCCCAAATCTGAGCTGATAGAAACCCTAGCGCCCAAATCTGCAAAACCCATTCAACGCTCTAGTTTGTGTCGGCTTCAAAACCCCTTGAAATATATTAGTGATATCTTGAAATTGATTATATGGTTTTAATTTCTCTTGGGTGGTTTTGCTGAGAATGGAATTCAATCCACATGACTTTTCAAAAAAGAATTTGATCCACAACTTTCAATCTTCTCTTATTCCCTCTCTCCCCAACCCCAAATTCACTCTCTCTTTCCCTCTCTTCTCAGTCCGAATTCCAAAAGAACAACAAGAAGAAGAGACTGCTTCACAGAATATCAGAAATCCCACAAATGTCCAATTTTTGAGGCAAATCCTTTCTTACTGGTAGTTTTTTTTTTGGTTCTATTTTTTCAATGAACAATGATGTATCAATATCATAATATATATTTGTGCTATCAAAAATGACTATTATAACATGCTTTCAACGTCTTCAAAATTTAATCTTGATTATGATGGTGATTCTTGATTATTGCAGATAAATCTTGAGTGATATAGATCAAAATTTAATTTGTCCATTGTTAGTACAAAATTTAATTTGTTTTGCATAATGTGATCTAGATCTTTTATGAATAATATGTATATATGTTTTTGCGGCTGTAGTTATAGATCTCATGTGTATATGGTTTTTGTTATGGCCATGGTTTAAATTGATTATTTGGTTTTTATCATAGCTATGGTTTAAATTGATTTTTTGGTTTTTATCATTTGAATATGCTCGTAGACTTGGTTTTGAAATTTTGATGACGTGGCATGGCACGCCATGGTGCCATTTCATCAATATGGCGATGACGTGGTAGGCTACATGACATTTTCGATTTAAATTATTGAAAGTTAGTTGAAGTAGTTAGCTAAAATAAAGAGCATGGTTAGAGTAAACTTGTAAAAAGGACTTTCTAAAATAGAGAATGTAATATTTAAATATATTTTGAGTGGCTAAAATGGAGTGTGTGGTTGGAGTTGCTGTAAGATTAGTAAGTTGTGGCGTAGCCTACATAAAATCCAATTTAAGCATCTTTATTCCCTTTTAGTGAGTGTGCATTGAGAATAAGTCCCAATTTGGGTCATGATTTCTCATATTACCAAACTTATCGCAGGTTTTTTGAGTTCCATATAATCTATTTAGAATAAAACTAGAAAAATGGTGTGGATTATGAAATTTGTGAAACAGAAGTATTGTGCTTAGATATCTGATTGTTTACTTTGTAGTCTAGACCTGGTAGCAGGATTGTCATGTGTTCTTTAGAATTATGGAACAGGACAATCCCGTTACGATGCTATTCATGCAAGTGCTATTGAAGACACGTCACACATGCATGCACGTGTGGAGAAGTAAATATACTTACGTTCTCACTTATATTCCAATTTATTGGAGTTCTTTTATCTACCTTTGAAAGGACGTTGGTTTGATCGCTGTTTCTTTTTTAATTGTGTTGGTTTGATGTGATGAACATTCTTCAGATAATTGGAACCTGTAGAGACGTTGGCATGTGCACTGCTGTTAGCTTTTCTTGATTATTACATTTATGAACTTTTGTATATTTTTCTCCAGATATTGCGAGATTGGCTCAAAATGTGAAAGTGAGGCAAAGGTTTGACCTTATTCGTATTTGTTTACAATTTTTGCAATGATGTTGAATATAACCTGTGATCAGTAAAACTTAGGTTTTTTTTTTTTGCTTCAAAGTAAAACTTATGTTTGAGTTATATAAAAACTTATGTTTGAGTTGTATAAAACTGTATCATTTTGTCGGTTTTTCATGAGAGTTCGATGTCTGCTTATCATTTATCATCTTCTGGATTTTAATTTGTCTTCTGTCCTAACAAAGAAGACTTGTGAGTTCTAGCCATATGCATGGCTGCATGTTATAATAGCGTATGGAAAAAAAAAGTCAAGGTGGCTGTAAAGCATCAATGATGTGGTTTTAATGTAAGTATTTTGAGGATATCTTGATCAAATTATTTCTGCAACTCATTGGCATCTGTTATCTCATTATTATATGTGGGTGGGACGTTGCAAGTTTTAATGGCAACCACGTTTTTTTTTTGTAAATTTTGTGCCCTTCTAAAAACTGTTCAGCACCCCCCGCCCTCCACCCACAAATTGTAAATTATGCATTTTTATGATCCCTAATACATTAGTTAATTTGTCAGGGTTGTGGCCACCGCAGTTACATACATGAGACGTGTTTATGTGAGGTATGTTTTAGAATGTCTTGATGGTGGGACGAAAACACAATGTCAGTTGCTAGCTTCTTTTACTCAAACTCTTTTTGATGCATATTTATATTGGAACCCTGTGATGTTGATAAATTGATTCAAGTTTTACTATTTCCTCTTTTTTGTTGATTCTGGGTCCATCTACAGCGTAACAGTTTTTGGTTCATATTTTTTGGGTTTCATTCTTCTTTTTTACTATGTGATTTTCGTGTATGTGCGCCCCTCATTGTTCTTTGATAGAGCCGATGACAAAACTTCATTTATGGTGGCCTAAATATTTCAAGGTTAAAAGTGATTAGATGGATTTGTGATGTCTGATTTCTGTAAAGCATGAATTTGTAGTTGCTCTTTAGCTTCTTGGTTGAATAGCTATAAGCAGAAAGTATTTCTGGAAAGATCTTACCCAAACATACTTTGAAAATTGATAGAGTCTTATGAGACTACCCAATAAAGAGTTTGTTCAGATACATTCAGTACAGACCTTACGATTTTCAGTACAAGCAAGGCTCTAGCAGAATNTCATATATTTAATTATTTAATATTTAATTAATTTATAATTAATATATTTTTAAAAAATTTAATTTCATGAAATTAATTTTTTGAACGTTCGAATTTTATATGTTATTGTGCCTTCAGCCACGGGTTATGGCCAGTCAATTAATAAATAAATAAATTATANATGAATTGTGCTTAATTGTGTATATCTTGTCTGCAATATATTTGTATGTTTCACGTTCCATAAACTACTTGTAAGGTTTTGGAAGAACAATCCTTTTCCGATATGTTACTATTTCTTATCATTCATAATTTTGTAGGAGTTTAGTGTTCAGCCATTTTTTTTCACANACGTCTATTAACTTATAGTCAAATAACTTCAAACCTATTTATTAAATTTTGTAACAGGGCGATTGGAATTGATTCAAACTTTAACACTCTATAATCAAATTTATTAAACTGATTTTTTTATTACTCATATTCTAATATAGTATTATAAATAAAAATTGTATGTTTCAAAAATNATGAATTGTGCTTAATTGTGTATATCTTGTCTGCAATATATTTGTATGTTTCACGTTTCATAAACTACTTGTAAGGTTTTGGAAGAACAATCCTTTTCCGATACGTTACTATTTCTTATCATTCATAATTTTGTAGGAGTTTAGTGTTCAGCCATTTTTTTTCACATNAAAAAAATGTTAATGTACTATGTACCATGTTTTTAAATATTTTTATATGTATCATGTTTTTGAGTATTTTTATTATTTATTGGTTAAAATTTATCAAATTTTGGGGTTAAAAGATTAAGTGTATTTTTTATTGGTATTTTAATTATTCACTTACCTTTACAAAAAACAATTCATTTTTATTACTTATCAACTTTGTATTTCAAATAAATTTAATAATAAATTATTGAACTAAATTTTTTTCACATACAACGCACGTGTGCATTATTAGTAATTAATAAATGAATAAGTGAATCTAATTAAAATAAATAAATAAATAAAATATACAATACGACTTATTTATATATTAATTATTCATAATTTATATACAACATAAATTTAATATAATACAATTTATTAGACAGTTATATAATAAAATAGGAGTGTGTTTGAATTTTATCTCAGTCATATTTTCTCTCTCAAAATCATCATCAATTACTTACCTCACTCATCATTTTTTTATCAGACTCAAACGTCAAATCACATCATTTATACAATCATTTATATATTTCATTCCTAAAAATCACACGACTTATTTTTATCATATATTTAATTATTTAATATTTAATTAATTTGTAATTAATATATTTTTAAAAAATTTAATTTGGTGGAATTAATTTTTTGAACGCTCGAATTTTATATGTTATTGTGCCTTCAGGCACGGGTTATGGCAAGTGAATTAATAAATAAATAAATTATAAATAAAATTAATGAATAAAATATTTTTTGAGACAAATTCTTTCCCTCGACACGATTGACAAATGTAGACTCCGGAGCACTGTTTAGTTTCTTCGCACACGACTACGATTGCGACTGCGACTGCGACTGCTACTCTGGTTGAAATTGAAGAAGAGTACCTACTTACATTTTAGGTTTAACTTCAGAAAAAAGTGTACCTTTTGGCTATAAAATTCTGGTAATTGAGTTCCAAATCCTCATCACCTCAAAAAATGGCAGCCAATTTTTGGACTTCATCACACTAGTAATTCTCAAAACCCTCTCAATTTCAATCTTTTTAGGGTTTTCTTTGTTTCCTGTATAAACGTTTTGTTTTCTTTGGTTTTTTGGGGGGTTTTAGCTTTATTGATTTGATATCTTTTTCGTTCTTGTGTTTTCATTGTGATTATATGCAGCAAAGAGCTTCTGGACCCGGAAAAGGTGGATGTGTTGCATCCAATTGACAAGGAGAGGGGGATCACCCTCGAAGATTTCAAGCTCATTAAGATGCATATGGCCAATTGTATACTCTCTCTCTCTGTCTCTTTCTCTAAGAGTATCTCTATATATGACTCTTCATCTGTGTTGTAGCTGCATAATCGAAAATTGTTTGCTTTGAGTAATCTTGGATTATGGATGGAAGTTATATTATCAGCTGTGAAATCTTTTTTGCCCGTCAAGAACTCCTCATGAGTAGACTGAAGGGTTTTTTTAAAAAACATGGATTTCAGCTTTTCCCCTTGAATTTATTCTTTTTAATACTTTTTTGGGCTTCTCCATGAATTCTACTTGTAGTATATTTTGCGTTTGCAGGCAGGATAGGTATTTTTTTGATGTAATCGCATGCATACACAACCTCATAAGACAATTCACCTAACTCTTTAACCAGGATAAGAGTATCTCCAACCCATTCGGTAAAAGGCCATTCTTAGCTATTTTGAAGGGCCAATCCCTAAAATTTCTCTCCAACCCACTCTATCCCACTAACTATTTTATCAAATCCAATTTTCACTCGCTACTTCTGGTGAGCCTCATTCACTCACTATCTGTTCTTTTGCACCAAAGTGGCTTCATCCTCTTCATCAGAGTGGTGGTCTGCATCGTCAATGGTTGTGCCTTCATTGTCTTCATCACAGTGGTAGTCTTCATCGTCTTCACCTAGGTATGGATTCCTCTCTCTCTCTCTCTGCCCAAATCTGAGCTGATAGAAACCCTAGCGCCCAAATCTGCAAAACCCATTCAACGCTCTAGTTTGTGTCGGCTTCAAAACCCCTTGAAATATATTAGTGATATCTTGAAATTGATTATATGGTTTTAATTTCTCTTGGGTGGTTTTGCTGAGAATGGAATTCAATCCACATGACTTTTCAAAAAAGAATTTGATCCACAACTTTCAATCTTCTCTTATTCCCTCTCTCCCCAACCCCAAATTCACTCTCTCTTTCCCTCTCTTCTCAGTCCAAATTCCAAAAGAACAACAAGAAGAAGAGACTGCTTCACAGAATATCAGAAATCCCACAAATGTCCAATTTTTGAGGCAAATCCTTTCTTACTAGTAGTTTTTTTTTTGGTTCTATTTTTTCAATGAACAATGATGTATCAATATCATAATATATATTTGTGCTATCAAGAATGACTATTATAACATGCTTTCAACGTCTTCAAAATTTAATCTTGATTATGATGGTGATTCTTGATTATTGCAGATAAATCTTGAGTGATATAGATCAAAATTTAATTTGTCCATTGTTAGTACAAAATTTAATTTGTTTTGCATAATGTGATCTAGATCTTTTATGAATAATATGTATATATGTTTTTGCGGCTGTAGTTATAGATCTCATGTGTATATGGTTTTTGTTATGGCCATGGTTTAAATTGATTATTTGGTTTTTATCATAGCTATGGTTTAAATTGATTATTTGGTTTTTATCATTTGAATATGCTCGTAGACTTGGTTTTGAAATTTTGATGACGTGGCATGGCACGCCATTGTGCCATTTCATCAATATGGCGATGACGTGGTAGGCTACATGACATTTTCGATTTAAATTATTGAAAGTTAGTTGAAGTAGTTAGCTAAAATAAAGAGCATGGTTAGAGTAAACTTGTAAAAGGGACTTTCTAAAATAGAGAATGTAATATTTAAATATATTTTGAGTGGCTAAAATGGAGTGTGTGGTTGGAGTTGCTGTAAGATTAGTAAGTTGTGGCGTAGCCTACATAAAATCCAATTTAAGCATCTTTATTCCCTTTTAGTGAGTGTGCATTGAGAATAAGTCCCAATTTGGGTCATGATTTCTCATATTACCAAACTTATCGCAGGTTTTTTGAGTTCCATATAATCTATTTAGAATAAAACTAGAAAAATGGTGTGGATTATGAAATTTGTGAAACAGAAGTATTGTGCTTAGATATCTGATTGTTTACTTTGTAGTCTAGACCTGGTAGCAGGATTGTCATGTGTTCTTTAGAATTATGGAACAGGACAATCCCGTTACGATGCTATTCATGCAAGTGCTATTGAAGACACGTCACACATGCATGCACGTGTGGAGAAGTAAATATACTTACGTTCTCACTTATATTCCAATTTATTGGAGTTCTTTTATCTACCTTTGAAAGGACGTTGGTTTGATCGCTGTTTCTTTTTTAATTGTGTTGGTTTGATGTGATGAACATTCTTCAGATAATTGGAACCTGTAGAGACGTTGGCATGTGCACTGCTGTTAGCTTTTCTTGATTATTACATTTATGAACTTTTGTATATTTTTCTCCAGATATTGCGAGATTGGCTCAAAATGTGAAAGTGAGGCAAAGGTTTGACCTTATTCGTATTTGTTTACAATTTTTGCAATGATGTTGAATATAACCTGTGATCAGTAAAACTTAGGTTTTTTTTTTTTGCTTCAAAGTAAAACTTATGTTTGAGTTATATAAAAACTTATGTTTGAGTTGTATAAAACTGTATCATTTTGTCGGTTTTTCATGAGAGTTCGATGTCTGCTTATCATTTATCATCTTCTGGATTTTAATTTGTCTTCTGTCCTAACAAAGAAGACTTGTGAGTTCTAGCCATATGCATGGCTGCATGTTATAATAGCGTATGGAAAAAAAAAGTCAAGGTGGCTGTAAAGCATCAATGATGTGGTTGTAATGTAAGTATTTTGAGGATATCTTGATCAAATTATTTCTGCAACTCATTGGCATCTGTTATCTCATTATTATATGTGGGTGGGACGTTGCAAGTTTTAATGGCAACCACATTTTTTTTTTGTAAATTTTGTGCCCTTCTAAAAACTGTTCAGCGCCCCCCGCCCTCCACCCACAAATTGTAAATTATGCATTTTTATGATCCCTAATACATTAGTTAATTTGTCAGGGTTGTGGCCACCGCAGTTACATACATGAGACGTGTTTATGTGAGGTATGTTTTAGAATGTCTTGATGGTGGGACGAAAACACAATGTCAGTTGCTAGCTTCTTTTACTCAAACTCTTTTTGATGCATATTTATATTGGAACCCTGTGATGTTGATAAATTGATTCAAGTTTTACTATTTCCTCTTTTTTGTTGATTCTGGGTCCATCTACAGCGTAACAGTTTTTGGTTCATATTTTTTGGGTTTCATTCTTCTTTTTTACTATGTGATTTTCGTGTATGTGCGCCCCTCATTGTTCTTTGATAGAGCCGATGACAAAACTTCATTTATGGTGGCCTAAATATTTCAAGGTTAAAAGTGATTAGATGGATTTGTGATGTCTGATTTCTGTAAAGCATGAATTTGTAGTTGCTCTTTAGCTTCTTGGTTGAATAGCTATAAGCAGAAAGTATTTCTGGAAAGATCTTACCCAAACATACTTTGAAAATTGATAGAGTCTTATGAGACTACCCAATAAAGAGTTTGTTCAGATACATTCAGTACAGACCTTACGATTTTCAGTACAAGCAAGGCTCTAGCAGAATGAATTGTGCTTAATTGTGTATATCTTGTCTGCAATATATTTGTATGTTTCACGTTCCATAAACTACTTGTAAGGTTTTGGAAGAACAATCCTTTTCCGATATGTTACTATTTCTTATCATTCATAATTTTGTAGGAGTTTAGTGTTCAGCCATTTTTTTTCACATTTTGGAGATCAATCTTTAGAAATTGCTATCTATAGTAGCATCTTTTTTGCTGCTTCATCTGTTTATTGTGAAACACAAAGCGTATAGTTGGGTTACATTCCCTCTTTTAGCTTTCAGGAAAAGCATGACTGAGTATGATCCTCGCCTAGTGGCTCCAACTTGCTTGTACCTGGCATCAAAAGCAGAAGAAAGCACAGTGCAGGCTAGGCTTCTTGTATTTTACATCAAAAAACTATGTAACCACTTTTTATGATCTTCCGTTAAGTTTTTTTTTCCTCTCACCAAAAGGCGATTAAGTGATTGGCACCTTACACCTTTTCTTTTTGCAGATTCAGATGAAAAATATAGGTACGAAATAAAAGAAATACTTGAAATGGAGATGAAAATTTTAGAAGCCCTCAACTATTATTTAGTTGTGTACCATCCTTACCGGGCATTGTCTAAGTAAGTATATCTTTCACATGTCACAAGTATGTAGTTTGGTCTAAATATATCTTCAATAAAATAGTTCTTCCGTAATCGCATCTTTGTGATGACCATTCCGATCCACTCTTGCTTTTGATTGTGTCAATTTCATTCATTTCAGCTCCCATAAGTCCTAAACTCTAACCCATGCTTCATTTTCTTTGTCCTTTATTTATTTGGGTGTCACTCCTACAGCTAAAACCTCTTGACGAGTCCTCAATAAGGGCAATCTTAAGAACCCTTATCTAGTGGCATACTACAAATAAAATCGTTGCAAAAAACCCTAAGGATAACTACTACATACATTCCATGAAACTGTGAAACACAAATAGTAGCTATTATTGAGACCAGCGATCCCATATAAAGGCATCACAATCCCTCACCAGGATAGTTACATATTCCCTCTCAATATCACACTCGAGCAACATAACATTCTTGTTATTGTATTTTTAAGTAATCCTGAAGTGCCAGCAACTTCTCTGACTTAGTCTGAGAGCTTTTTGAGATTCTGCTAGCCCGACACCAATTACTTGAGGCATGTCTTTTTGTCACCTCGAGTAGGTTTTTCTTATTTGGTAGTTATGATTTTTCTTTATTCTTAGTTGATGATCTCTCTCAGGTTGCTTCAGGATGCTGGAATGAATGATGCAACTCAACTAACTTGGTAAACAAATATTATCAGCTAGTCAACATTCTATCAAAATGATAAGGTGGGGATACAGAATTCATTCAGTGCTGTTACTCTGGCTGTTCGACTTATGCAGGGGAATTGTCAATGATACCTACAAGATGGATCTAATTCTCATACATCCTCCACACTTGATTGCGTTAGCCTGCATGTATGTTGCAAGTGTTATCAAAGATAAAGAGAACACAACCTGGTTTGAAGAGCTTCGAGTTGATATGAATGTTGTAAGTCCTTGATGCTAAATCTTCTACCTGCCATATATTGTATATTGTATATCATTACTGGTGATTAAAACCAATTTCTACAAATCAATTATGGACTACATGTTTTTTTGTCCAATAGCATGGCCTATCTACTTAGGGTACCACTTCCCTAGCCATACTCCCAACTTTATGCCCCTTGACTGGGACTTGAACCTTGGACATGTCCCTTAAGGAAAGGGAATGAGATACCTTCTGAGATCAGTCTTTATGTTCCATTCTGTCAATCTTTTAGTCAATCAACTTGTGTGGGTGGTAAGAGATGAGAGAGAGTCACTCCCATTTAGGCAATTTGGTAGAAATATTGACAAATTTATTAGTCGTCTTTTTAGTAATGAAAAATTACAATAAGAGCAGCAAAAGAGGCAGGCCAAAGGCAATGTAACAAAGCCCTAAGATCAGAAGGGGAAATCTGTTGCGGANATTAGTCGTCTTTTTAGTAATGAAAAATTACAATAAGAGCAGCAAAAGAGGCAGGCCGAAGGCAATGTAACAAAGCCCTAAGATCAGAAGGGGAAATCGGTTGCGGTCAAGCTCCCATGTTATGAGCCTGATTTACATGCCAACTCAACAAACACTTTGTCCCACCTAGTGGTGTTTATGTACAAGAATCTTGCCTTGCACACTTACTTATCTAAAGCCATCTCTCTAGCAATGTTATTAACAACCCTAATATGATTTTTGATGAACTTCCTTCAATTTATTTGTCCCTTCATTGGATCTGCAAACTGCTTCTTCTGGAATGTCTTCAAACAATCCATTTCCTCCGTCCAATTAAAAGCAAGCACTGTGTGCTTTATGTGAATTCTCATGCCTGATTCTTGAGAGAGTTTATTTAGGTAGTTTTCAACGAAGGAGACTTCCAACCTGTAAGATTTTATCTGATTTGCTTGCATAACCGTGTCGCATCTTTAGTTCCCTAGGAAGGAAAGTACTGAACGATGCCAACTTTGATATTCAACTGATGCTCTTCTTAGGTGCATTAATTCGCAGTAATGGAGACCCATATATTGCATTATAGTTTCATTGAGTATCAATTATGGTTTGACGACTAGGTTCCAAGAGTGCTTCTAAGTGTCTAAAATCTGAGCATTATTTGATTCATGTTAATTTTGACAGGTGAAAAATATCGCGATGGAGATATTAGATTTCTATGACAGCCACAAAATGATCACAGAGGAGAGGGCAAATGCTGCCATGAACAAGCTAGCATTCAAATAGCAGAAGTTCGGGAAAGTCAGCTATTCATTGACCAACTAATTTCTAGTTATGTATCTCTAATGTAAGTAAATTATCGTTGTGCCTGTGTACATAAGACCATGAACTCCATTTCTAAAAGCCACTTGGCGCTCTAGGTTGTGGGTCTAAACCGATTTAAGAGCGAGTCAAACATGGTTTACATCTTCTGTGACTGTGAGAGTATCAAGTGCTTGTAATATAAGAATTGGTGACAATAGGAGACCTGTAGATGGATATGTGAATTGATCTGTGTTTACCTGTATGTATCTTTATGGTGCATGAAATCTTGCATTATTCTTTTCTTTCAAATGGATTAAATTTCAAAGGCTCTCTTTGTTATATGGGTTTGACAGGACTGGGAAGAGCAAAGCCGCTGTTAATGTTGCATAGTTCACACTAAAACGACTACGCTCGAAAGAAAGAACTTGAAGTTGGTTGGAGCCGTTTGGTTTTGTTTTGTTTTGGAAAACAGTTTTTAGTTTTTTAAAAGCAGTTCACCAAAAATAAAAAATTTTNCAGCCACAAAATGATCACAGAGGAGAGGGCAAATGCTGCCATGAACAAGCTAGCATTCAAATAGCAGAAGTTCGGGAAAGTCAGCTATTCATTGACCAACTAATTTCTAGTTATGTATCTCTAATGTAAGTAAATTATCGTTGTGCCTGTGTACATAAGACCATGAACTCCATTTCTAAAAGCCACTTGGCGCTCTAGGTTGTGGGTCTAAACCGATTTAAGAGCGAGTCAAACATGGTTTACATCTTCTGTGACTGTGAGAGTATCAAGTGCTTGTAATATAAGAATTGGTGACAATAGGAGACCTGTAGATGGATATGTGAATTGATCTGTGTTTACCTGTATGTATCTTTATGGTGCATGAAATCTTGCATTATTCTTTTCTTTCAAATGGATTAAATTTCAAAGGCTCTCTTTGTTATATGGGTTTGACAGGACTGGGAAGAGCAAAGCCGCTGTTAATGTTGCATAGTTCACACTAAAACGACTACGCTCGAAAGAAAGAACTTGAAGTTGGTTGGAGCCGTTTGGTTTTGTTTTGTTTTGGAAAACAGTTTTTAGTTTTTTAAAAGCAGTTCACCAAAAATAAAAAATTTTAAAAGGAGACGGAAGGGGTAAAAAGAAAAAATATATATTTGCAACGGTGATATCACGTTAGTATTATTACGGGATATTATTAGNTTAAAAGGAGACGGAAGGGGTAAAAAGAAAAAATATATATTTGCAACGGTGATATCATGTTAGTATTATTACGGAATATTATTAACTAATAATATGCGGACAAATAAAAAAATAAATCTTACACAAGTTTATAATTATCCGTTTATGTGAGTAGATAATTATTCACTCTTTTTTTATGTAAGTTAATAATTATTTAAGTGGGATTTATTTTGTCCATTTGAAATTTTATTATTAATTAGTGATATTATGTCATTAATACTTATATGGTATCACCATTATATTAAATATTCTCCCCAAAAAAAAGGGTTTGTGGTATGTTGTTCATGAGGCCAAACAAATGTTTGCCTACTAAGCTATTCGAGCCGGTATGAGTTCGGCTCGTTCAGACTCGATTTGTTTTCTAAATAAATCAGAACTTAAACAAGTTTTACAAGTTCGATTTAAATTTGACATGCTTGGCTCGTTTATGTATAAATATTTGGGCTCGACTTATTTTTAACTCGTTCAGGCTTGACTAATTCTTAAACGAGTCGAACATAAATAATTTTTTAAACTCGATTAAGAAATAAACTTTTCAAGTTCGGCTCAGACTCGTTTGACTAACAGCCCTAACCTGCTAACCATAGAGAGGGTTCAACCCAGAAATTTCAGGTTAAAAAATTTTTACTTTTATTTTTTAAGGGATATATTTTAAATCCGTTTGAACTATATGGTATTTAGTATTAAAATTTGGGAGAATAATTAGCGCAAGTTNTTGTGTAACTTAATAATAAGCCATTTTAAGCAACCAAAATGAAGGGTAAGGTAAAATTAGAGCAGCAACAGAAACTGTTAGGTTTGGAATTCTAAAGTTTCTTTGTACGTTTGGTTCAATGTCAATGTACAGGCGNTCGACTTATTTTTAACTCGTTCAGGCTTGACTAATTCTTAAACGAGTCGAACATAAACAATTTTTTAAATTCGATTAAGAAACAAACTTTTCAAGTTCGGCTCAGGCTCGTTTGACTAACAGCCCTAACCTGCTAACCATAGGGAGGGTTCAACCCAGAAATTTCAGGTTAAAAAATTTTTACTTTTATTTTTTAAGGGATATATTTTAAATCTGTTTGAACTATATGGTATTCAGTATTAAAATTTGGGAGAATAATTAGCGCAAGTTAAAAAAAAAAAAATATTACAAATGGGGGCTCAAGTGAAATATGCGCCACGTCCACCCCTTTGGTAAATATGCAAAGCGACGCTGCCTGAAAAAAAAAAAAAAAAACCAAAAAAAAAAACAAAGAGGTGACCGCCCTCTCTACATATAAAATCCCCTCTTTTTTTCTCTCTCCTCTCTCTAGCGCCACTCAAGATCCGCCAGCCTTCTTCCCCAAGCGAACCCTAGGTTGCGGGCTTGGAAGGAGAGAGGAGGTAGAGAGAGAAACTATACCTTCCCTCTCTCTCTATCACACCTTCCTTTCTCCCTCCGAAAGTACCTCTCCGATCCGAACCAAATCCAGGTACACGTGNCTCTCTAGCGCCACTCAAGATCCGCCAGCCTTCTTCCCCAAGCGAACCCTAGGTTGCTGGCTTGGAAGGAGAGAGGAGGTAGAGAGAGAAACTATATACCTTCCCTCTCTCTCTATCACACCTTCCTTTCTCCCTCCGAAAGTACCTCTCCGATCCGAACCAAATCCAGGTACACGTGTCTCGCCAATCTGATCTATACTGATATAAACCTCCATTTTTATGTATTATGCATCGAACCGTTAGGGTTTGATGATTTAGTTTATTTCTGTAACTGTTGTAGTGATTTTTAGGTTTTGGTAGCTTTTCTGAAGATCGATTAGCGATGGCGGCAGCGGCGGCGCAGCAACCGGTCTCTGCTCAAGTAGTATGTATATATTTGGGTTATCAATTTCTCATTTGCAGTTTATCTGCTCAAGTAGTGATTGAATATGTTGTTCGGGGTTAGGTCGGGAATGCCTTTGTTCAACAGTACTATCATATACTGCACCACTCGCCAGGGCTTGTTTGTCGGTTTTATCAGGATATTAGTAGGCTTGGTCGTCCGGAGAATGATGGGTCCATGAGCATCACTACTACGATGCAAGTAAGTTCTCTCTCCATCTTTGTACATACATATGGGTGTGCATATGGACATACTCACACCAAAATGTAGAACAAGTTGGCTTGTTTTTTGCTTTATTGATCCCCCATACCTAGTTGCGTCATGTTAAGCTTCATATAATCAGTATTTGCAAACTAATTCTTTTGTTCCTTCTGGTTGCGGGGAAACCTGTAGCAAGGACAAGAATGAAATTCTTCAATTTCAGTTCTTCTTGGCTTTGGATTTGGAAAAGAATTGTGTAACTTAATAATAAGCCATTTTAAGCAACCAAAATGAAGGGTAAGGTAAAATCAGAGCAGCAACAGAAACTGTTAGGTTTGGAATTCTAAAGTTTCTTTGTACGTTTGGTTCAATGTCAATGTACAGGCTATCAATGATAAGATACTATCGCTTAACTTCGGCGAATTCAGGGCAGAGATCAAATCTGTGGATGCACAAGAATCTTATAATGGTGGAGTTCATGTCCTTGTAACTGGGTATCTGATCGGAAAGGATAACTTGATACGCAATTTTGCCCAGAGCTTCTTCCTTGCACCCCAGGACACAGGATATTTTGTGTTGACTGACATATTCCGATATGTGGACAATATCAATCCAAATGATGGTAATCAGGGCTCAGCTAATTATGTGGAGGATCCTGTCACTCCAGAGCAAAGTAAGGAGTCCCTCAGTTTACTTCATTATTAGTCCTTTCTGGTATCAGCAGTTTAGTGGTGATGTTCTCATTTTTCTTTTACCGGTTGGCAGATGCTTGCCCCGTGGAAGAGAATCATGTAGCTGAGCAAGCTGCTGCACTGACAGACGAAGCCAATGGGGGAGAAGTGTATAATCCCCCCGAGAATGGAGAAGTATCACCAATGGAAGAGGAGGTGCCAGTGGCTGAAGTGGTTGATGAAGTACAGGATGATTCCCAGGTGGTGGTTGAATGTAGCACCAAAATTGAAGAAGTGCCAAAGAAGTCTTATGCCTCGATTGTAAGTGGCCATTGAGTGCACTACCATGGATCATTTAAGGTTTTAGTTACCTGTAAGAACTTGATATACTTTGTTGTCGATGACCTTGGTTATCTTTCAATGTATGCATCTGTGATTATGTAGTCATTGGATGCTGCCATCCTGGCACAACTAATGTTAGTTGCAAAATTTATATTTTCTTACCTGCATAATTGTCAAAAAGGAAAATAGCGGTTCGAGAACCTGTTTGTAGATCCATTGAAATGACTGATGGTTAAAAAACAACTTTGTAATGTTGCTTAGGTGATGGATTTGAAGGAGAGTAATGTGGCCTTCTCATTTCCAGCATTGGCTCTTGGTAAATCTCCACCAAAAGGCCAGGTGCAACAAGTGAACCCTGCCCCTCTAGCCTCAGCCGCTGAGACCCCAGTTTCCAGTTCAGATGCTATTTATAGTGGGAATGATGGAGAAGGTACTGAATTCTGTACTGATATGGTGTTAGTTCTCTTTTCTAGTCATGCTATGTTTCAGCACAAAGTTGTTCTGTATGTCTTTTAATTCAGTGATTTTATTTGCAACTTGTTTATTGCTTTTGGTCAGCTGATGGTTACTCAATCTACACAAGGGGTCTGCCTATGAATGCCACACCTTTCTTACTTGAGAACGAGTTCAAGAGATTTGGACCTATTAAAAGTAATGGCATTCAAGTTAGAAACAATAGAGTATGTATCAGTTTTTTTTTTTTCCTGGTTGGCTTCTAGTACTCTTTTTTTGCTAGTGACTGTTGATGGCCCTTATACTGTAGCAGCAAGGATTTTGTTTTGGCTTTGTTGAGTTTGAGGTGGAAAGTGCGGTACAGAAGGCAATTGAGGTATATATCAGCTTGTGAAATCACCTTGATTTCATAAATTCTTAGCTAGCCTCACTTTGGTATGTTTCAGTCAATGGTACTGCAGATGCTTATGATTTGTTTCTTATTGGCTTTTATTATCCTAGTGAGTAAGAAGAGAATATAAAGAACAATGAGAAAATTTTAAAAAATTACTTACATAATTAGATTCTGATTAGGCTAATTTGTCCACCCTCTACATGAGTCTTTATTATTTCTTAGTATATATATGAAGTCAACAGATCAACCTAGTCACCTAGCAACATTCTAATTGTTCAAACATATTATGTTACTTCATTCTGTTTTTGCTAGTATCATACTGTTATGGTGCTGTTATTACATTTTTGTTACTTCTAATCATTCCATTTATTAGTTGGATTTTTTTTCCAGTTTCTTTTGGTATACATGCAAATATGTTTAGGAATCAGGCTGTTATAGGTTATATCTATAGTCCTCTAGTCGAGGGATTTTTGGACCAAAAGAAAATGGTCAAAGAATTTGGTTGATAGTGGCGTGGAGTTTATGTATGTTTTAATATAAATCATGATATAGGGAGTTTGGGAAATCATTTAATCAAATTGTTGGAGTTTTCTTTACATGTTCTGGTGCAACCTATCAAGTTTAGGTTTCTGACGCCACGTCATTCCAACTCTCAAGTTTTAGAGATCTTGTGTATTCCATCGTGCCTTGGAAACGTTCTCTTCATCTATCTACATATATTTACGCTCTATCCGATGTGGTGGGCATATATAGATCGTGTGCACCAAGGATAGTAGAATATTCTGAAAGGTGACAGTAGAAATTGAAAGTGGTTGTTCACATTATGCACTTTTCAAATAATTTGTTTTTTTGGAATATACAATGTTTTTTAGAAAATTAATCTCATGTCACTATTCTGAAAAAGTTGATGAATGTGAATGTTCTCTGCATCATGCGATATATTGCATTTTTACCATAAGACCAAGATTTGATATACATAACTCATGCAGAACAGTACCAGTGAATATTCTATATATAGTACTGTGTCTGAGATACTGCAGGCGTCTGGTGTTAATAGGAATCAATTTTATGAATCTTGGTTTGTATGTTGTACACTTGTAATTTTTAGTATGTATACATGGCATAGATAAGGAAAGTCACTTTCTTAGCTATGGAACATGGAAAAAAGGTGTGGGAAGTACCCACACTTTTTGACCTGGAGGAGAAATTGAAACATGCACGGTCAAATCTATCGTGCACACTTATCTGTGCAGAACTCTACACATAGGAGGTTACCATTTAAGTAGGATAACTCATAGTTGAAGAAAAGAGTTCCATAATACAGCGCATGCAGTTTTGGATTGCAAACTGCTAGTCTGCTACTGTTCAAGTGGAACTGTGGTCATAAATATGGCCAGGAGATATGATGTGCTGAACAAAACAAACCTAGTGTTATATGAATCATTAGTCTTTGTTTCTCAAAATTTCTTCTAGTGGTGCTTTGACCTAAAAGAGTGTACATCAACTTAAAATGAACTTTGAAATACATGAACGGGTCTTTTTTTTCTTTCCTTTGCGGGAAGGGTTCTGCCTGCTGTGGCTACTAATAAATGTGTTTCATAATGCATGCCCAGAATATGCATTGTCAGTATGGATCCAAAAACTCAAGATCACTAATTACATATATGCACCAGTGTTTACAGCCCCACCACCATTTTGGTCATCAGGTTTCGCATTTTTGTACTGGCATTATACTTCTTCAAAATAACTGATGATTATATCTCCTTACTTGGATGCATCAAATATTCTTTTAAGACCTCTACTGTCATGTCTTTTTCTTGAAAGTAAAACCCAAGTTCAACTATGTTGTCCCCAGTGAGTGGTTATCGTGATAAGGATGCCTGATATTTTGTATGATAAATGGATCTGCTGTTCGTAGTATGATCTGCATTTTGATTGATGTTTCAGGCTTCACCAATTGCAATTGGGGGATTGCAAGCTGTTGTTGAGGAAAAGCGGTCTACTTCTCGAGGCAAGTTGGATGCTTTGATAAAACTTTCAATAAGACAGGAAGCTGACCATATAATATATGCTTAGTAGTAATAATAGTGATTATAATTATATTGATGATGATGATGATAACAACGATGGTAATGTGGTCAAATTATGTGAACAAAACAATTTTAGGGATGCATAATGACGCAAAATCCATTAAAAAGCCTTCATTCTGCCCTTGCACCTGTTGTTGGTGTAGCATGTGTTCCACCAAAAGGTGCATCTAGACCTCCTTTCTGAGTAGAAAGGCTTGTTGATTTAGAGATGAGGAACTTTTGATGTCCTTTTGTGCTGCGTATGGTACTGTAGCCAGTATACACTAATAATTTGAGATACTATAGTGGATTTTCATGTCATAACTGGTGGCAGAATAGTAGTAGTTCTTTTCTGTGCACTATATTGCCATCATAGGAAACCTATGTTTTATAGCATAGATCAACTTTATGTTTGATCAAGAGGCGAGTCTTTACTTCAGTTTTTCCTGATTTCTCAGGCAAAATTAAATCACCACTCTTTTTGTGCAGGTAATGGTAGGGGAAGGTTCCTCTCTGGAAGGGGTTTTGGATTCAGGAATGAAGGAGCTAGAGGGCGTGGAAACTACGGAGGTGGCAGAGGCTATGGTCGAGGTGATTTCACTAGCAGGAATGACTTTGGTAACAGGAGTAGCAATCCGAACCGTGGTGGTGATGGATATCAGAGGGCTGACAACGTGGGGAGAAATGGTGGCCGCACTAACCGTGCTGGTGGGGGATCTGTGAATGGAACTGCCAAAAATATGGCACCACGGGTATCTGCTACTGCTTAGAGGATTGTCGGTGAATGATTTGATTAGATTCTCTAGATTTGAAGTGATTAAGTGATCAGATATGACTTATGTGGGTGGCTTCTATCCTCATGGATGGGCTGGCGGATGTTTTCTTGGGGGTTTTGTCTAACTTCTTCTTTTGCACATTGTTTACCCTACCTGAGTGGTGGTTATGGGCGGATAGTAGATGAGTGATGTAGCCATTGTTGTGCAGCGTACTGGTATTCTAGCCCCCAGGGAAGTCGTATTGTAGGCTGTTTTTGTAGTTGGTTGTTAATTTTGGAGTTTTGTTGCCTGGAATTGGTATCAGTTGTAGTCATAGATTTTGCATGGATTTTGGTGGAGCAACTCAGTTGGAAGTTTTATTCTTTTTGTCAATCCAACAGTGTGAACTGCAACGAGAATGAGAAAATGTGATAATGCTTTTCTTCTGCCATACTTTATCACTAGCACGAATTTTACTTTGGGTAATCATTTTGGGCTAATTTCAACTTATATTCTGAAAGATCACTTAAATTTTAATTTACACCCTCAATTTATAAATATTAATATACATTCTCAAAGACATAAATTTGTATTAATTTATGCTTGAGGCTAATTCTGTCTATTTTGCGGTTAAAAAAGTTTTGATTAATTATAAATTATTTTTCTCAAGGTTTAAATATTTTATATTTATAATCTAAAAAGAATTTCATTTATTAGTGCTCATTTAATAACTCTTAAGTGTATCGTATTATAACATCTTGGTCTCAAATTATAGTCAATAAAAAAAAATTGAAAATTATAAAAAAATTTATAAAATATTTTGATTGTCTAATCAAATTAAAGTTAGATATCAATAACGCAACTATAGACAGAAAATAGTTATTTAACAAGAAAAAATATATATTTTTTAAATTTTTAAAAAATATTAAATAGTATTATATGAATTGTCGTAAATACAAAATATATAACACAATGCAATTGACTCGATATGAAAAATATTTTTTTACCGATTCGAACACGACACAAAAATGTTATGACACGATATAATTGAGAGCTATTTAACTAGCATTAATAGATTAAATTCTTTTTGGAACATAAATGTGAAATATTTAAACTTTGAGGGACACAATTTATAATTAACCCAAATTTTTTTAATGGCAAAATAGATGACAGTTAGTCTCAGGTGTACATTAATACGTATTTATATCTTTTAAGATATAAATTAATATTTTTAAACTTTGAGGGTTCAAATTAAAATTCGAGTGATCTTTCGAAATACAATTTAAGATTAACCCAATAATTTTCCATCGAATTTTTAAATCACCAATCAGTTCCGATGCTCTTTTTCCTTTTCCTTTCACNTGATCTTTCGAAATACAATTTAAGATTAACCCAATAATTTTCCATCGAATTTTTAAACCACCAATCAGTTCCGATACTCTTTTTCCTTTTCCTTTCAGNAAATTAATATTTTTAAACTTTGAGGGTTCAAATTAAAATTCGAGTGATCTTTCGAAATACAATTTAAGATTAACCCAATAATTTTCCATCGAATTTTTAAACCACCAATCAGTTCCGATGCTCTTTTTCCTTTTCCTTTCAGTTGCTATTATGGTTGCTGTCATTTACGTTGGCATGTGTTTTGGGTTGGTGAATGGTGTGGTAAGAGCTGACTGCATTCAACATACCGCAATTGTAGCAGGTGTGCTGTTCTGAGCTTTTCTGCTTTGGCGGCAGCAACGTTGGTGTCGAATGCTGGCTGAGTCAGCTCCAACTTTCCCTGTACAGACACCCCACAACCCCTTGATGTGCTGATCCAGACTGCCATGTCTAGCTAGTCAGTTGATTTCGAGAGTAGCAATGAGGTGCAGGCTTCTGCTAAACACTCAAATGTTCTTGAGAATTTCGTGTCAAGAACAATCCCACAAGTGATCCAAGTAAAGTTCATGGAAAACATATTTCTAGCAGAGGTTTCTCAAACCCTTGCCGCATGCTTTCCTCACGCTTACGAATACTTACCATTACGTCGTGATTATAAGATGATGTTGGCAAGAAACATCTCCTAAAGGCAAAAATGGTTAAGGCGAGAGAGGAGGCCAAAATAAGGAAAGCTAAAGCCCAGGCTTTGTGCCAAAGGTCGTCTTAGCCAAGTGCAGACAACAGTGCACAGCTCTTAGTCACACACACTTCACCAAAAATTACTGCAAGAACCACTATACAGAGTTTACATATCTAATTATCGTTCTATGTTGCACTTGCTTCACGGGGTTTAGGCATCACTAAACATGGTTTCAGATTGTTATTATGACATCTCCAAAGCCAAGGTGTCACTTGAATATATAGGAAGAACTGTCTTTAAAAATGACACTTCCGCGCGACAGCCTAAATAATCAATAATATCCTGAACATGAGATAGGATTAATCCTTTGCATCAAACAATAGTTCCACCCCACAATACTTTTTATCATAAATCAATAAACAATTCCTCAAGGTTAGCCAAATNATAATATCCTGAACATGAGATAGGATTAATCCTTTGCATCAAACAATAGTTCCACCCACAATACTTTTTATCATAAATCAATAAACAATTCCTCAAGGTTAGCCAAACATTGTCGTGAACAGCCATAAGCTCTAATCTCCTCTTCCATACCAAAATCAGCTAGAATTGTTCACTTGTATTTTATAAAAACATTATCCCAGAACATTTGGTCAGTTTCCTTTGATGAAATAAGGAGGAGAGTAAGAAAACGGTAAATCACTTGCAGAGAGACGAGGATCAATTTAAGGAAACAATACCAAGTTAAAAAAAACTGCACACAATCGGTGTAGATATTAAGTTATTAACAAAAATTAAGTGAGGACTACGTAATCATATGAATATAATATGGCATATTACCATAAGGTATAGTGATTACCACCAGACAAACATATAAATAGGGAAAGTTCTTGAAGACCAACTGTTGTAAACAATTAAAAAGTTTAACCATTAAAATTTAACCGTAAACACATATGAACAAAGTTTTTAGCAAAATTCTCAACTACTATGGCAAAGAAGAATGATTTACTTGAATAGACATGAATTTCTATGGAATCAGATAAGAATGCTAATTGAACATGTAAGAAGGCTCATTCAACAGATGCTTTTAGCAGAACTACCGTTGGTTGATCCTCTAAGCATGGGCTTCAACTACTTCATTCTATTTAAAGACCGAAATTGCAGGCCTGGACAACGTCATTCTCGTAGTCAACATACTTTGTCCAAAGTGGTCGAAACTGGTTCATGGCAATATCAAGCCATGGTTTCATATTTCCGTTGAAGTGTACGACGGCTGCATTGCGAATCTCGTCCATGTTTATGCTTGGATTATATCCGAGACCCAGAACATGCCAAGACTTGTCTAACGGCTTTGTTGTGGAATAAAATGTAATCAAGCCTGGGGGCAACGTTCCCAATTTCCACAAGGTTCGGTTTTCATTCTGCCAAAAAAAGTTCAGCATCTCTAATTAGGAAGAACAATAAAAACAACATTGCAAAAGAAACAGTAAATAATAAAACAGCATTAAACCATCACGTAACGTGCTATACAGTAAATGCACAAACAAAGCAGGACCTTTCTTTATATCTATGGCAACACGGGGCCTTTGTAAATTTAGTTAGTCCCATACAGTTCTATGAAAATTCTAAAGTAACCTGTCCAAAGCCTTGGTGCTCGTAGAGCAACAAACATAACCTAATGTTTCATAAGGTTATGACATTTAACAGTAAAAAAGACTTTGTAAGGCGCAAACAAATCAAATATCCATGAATCAACTTAGGCATCCAAATACTTGGTTGGTTTTAGGGTTGGGAATGAAATGGAAAAGTAAAACATGCAAATCTAATCTCACCAGAGTCTGCCAGTAGTGGTACTCTTCGGTGCACTTCTCCCTCCTCCAAGCATCCAAATCGAAGAAGTTCATCCCATAAGCCCATGCACACGCCTTGGGATTAAACTTCTCTTTGATCAAAGGGTGTGAGAAATTCATGTACTGAGCATACCGATGGAACGATCCAAAACAAGTCTCAACAGCTCCATTCACCTTCCCATCCATGTCTATATTCCAAAGCCCAGTCAAATCCCTCTGAACAATGATATCATCATCCAAAAACAAAATCCTATGCAACTTTGGGTACATTTCCGGCAAATAAAATCTCAGATGATTCAATATTGACAAATATTTAGGGTTCCTAAATTTCATATTTGTTGTGTCCTTTGTCGCATTCTCGAGCTTAGTCTCAAAGTAAAACTTCTGTAAATTCGCGGATTCAAGCTGTCGAAGCACTGGCACATATGAAGAGTTCAAGAACTTGTAATCCTCCACTGCCTTCACTTCGATGTGAGCTCCATTATAATCCCTCATTTTGAACATAACCTGCATCGCTCCAAGATTCATCTTATCAGTCACCACATGAAACACGTGTTTCCACGGTTCTTTCGAGTTCTTCACCGCCGAGTTCACCACAACCGACGCCGCAATCACATTATCGGAGAAAATTGCATAGTGATAGAGGTTTGGATCTTCTAATTCCGGTAGTGTAGGCTTCCCTTCGTCCGTATACTTCTCCGGATGCGCAATTCGCTCTTCCATCAACCTCATCGCCACGCAGTGCAAGCTCTTGGGAATCGACTTCGCAGCAATCAAGCTCGAAAACGCACCTTGCTTCTTCGCCTTCGTCAACTGCTCATTCACAGCGAAAATAGTGTCTTTGAGCTTCTGAATCTTCAATTGATTATCAAAAGACTCCTTCGCCTCGGCTATCACTTGCCTTGTGACTTTAATCCTTTCTTTAACCTCCTTTTCCAACTGCCTAAGCAGAGACTCATCGATTGAGTTCGCATCGGATTCAAACAGAGCACGATACGATGGTTTGGATATCAGATCTGTGTAGTTCCGAGAAAGATCAGCGAAAACCCTAACAAGCTTGGAGTTCTCGAGCTTGAGTTTGCGAGCATAGGAAGCGTAAGCGAGAGCGAGAGATCGGTGATCGTCGGCTTGCTTCCGGATCTGATCGAGTCTCGGCTTCAACGGATCAGATTTCAAAGCCAGTACCGACCTCCGAATTGATCCACCCCCGNGGCTTGCTTCCGGATCTGATCGAGTCTCGGCTTCAACGGATCAGATTTCAAAGCCAGCACCGACCTCCGAATCGATCCACCCCCAGACGAATCGTAAGAAAAACCCTAAGTTCGCAACAAAAACAAAGTAATCACATATACATTGCTATAAAGAACGATATGATGATAAATAGAGAGAAAATTATTGAAATGTGATTGATTTGCACTTACGAGATTGAGATCGGAGGGGTTGGAGGAGGAGGTCAAGCGGAAAGAGAGAGTGAAGAAGAGACAGACTGCCACGGTGAGAGCAATGACGAACAGCTTGAAGGTGAAGGGAGGGGCACGGATCGCTGCTCCGGCGAGGCCGTTGTTTCGATCATAGATTGAAGTTCGCGAGCCCCGAAGGCTCGTGATCGCCATTTTTGGTCAAATATGTGTGTGTGTGTGTGTGTGTGAGTGAGAGAGAGAGAGAGGGAGTTGTGCAGTGCTTAATGGGAGTGGGAGTCTATGAAAGAGATAGAAGAAAGAAAGAAAGAAAGAGATGTGTACAACTAAACTACGACGACGGGAGGAGGTCCTTTAATTTCATTGGTAATTGGCAACTGGCAAAGTGAAAGAAACGCGGGTAGACGACGGTGGCGGTGCGGGGTGTCTCAGGATTGGATTAGCGTTTATGGGTCCCACTGCAACTATCCATCCGATCCATTCAAGACCCGAGTTCTGAGGGCTCCGACCGATTCACCTGTTGGGTTATTGGGCAATCAATTTGGGGGGTTCAAGTTCCCATGCATACCAATTAATAGAAATACACTCTAAATTTAAATGTTTTAAATTTAAATCTTACAATTTCTTGTAAATAAGATATAAAACAGTTATCTTTCATGAATATCATAATTCTGGTGTCAATAATTGTCTTTGATCAAATCGGAAAGAAGATTAGTCGAGATAGTCATAAACTGGGCTGACACACTTGATCATTGAACCAAAAAAATATAATACAATATGAATTATCAAATTAAAATTAAAAATAACATGATTTAATATAAATAATAAATAGATTAGATTAAAGTTAAATATGAATAATATTATTAACCTTGAAAATAGAAAATAAAATTTATATATCTTTTAAATAATTTATAAATTATTTTAAAATTAAATAATTTTGTATTAACAATCAAAAAATGAAAAAATTGTGAGGAAGTACATTTTTAAACTATCTAATTGTGAAAAAATATCTTGCTAATTTTTTTTGTAGATAAATGTTCTTGACTTAAAATGTATTCTATTTAGGTATACATTGACAGTTTTTTAGATTTTTCTTTTTCTAAAATATCTTTTTCCATATTTTTTGGGCTATTTAAATTGATAGTCTCATTTTTTTTATGGAATTTGGTTTATTATATTAAGAATTTTTTATTTTAATAGATCAACATATTTGAATTTAAAACTTAAATGACATGGATTATGATTTCAATCCATATGAATTTGAATTTTAAACATAAATTCATATTTTTATACTTCAATGGATGGTGTAAATCTCCAGTTTTTGATTTTCTTCTTCTCCGTTAACATGTGTTGTTCTTCACCAACAAAAAATACTTCAATGTCTGGATTTCTTTTTTTACATCAATGCATGATGTTTTTTGTCTTTTTTAACGTATATCACATACTTCACTTTAGGTTTGGATATATACGTTCGCTGTTAATGTACCGATTAACCTTCTTTTAAAATCGATAATGTATATCGTCAAGTGTTTGGTTTTGTCATTTTTTTTCTCATGTTTAAATCTGTGATACATATATCTGGATAATGTCACTGTGACCATCTACATCTTTTTCTTAACATACTCTTCTTAACATACTTTAATATATAAGCAATTCATTTTCAATGTCACAGAGTGACAAACATAGCATTTAGCCTAGTGTATGAATTAGAAAAATGGGGTTTCAAATTTATTTGTCACAATGTAACAAATAAAGTATTGTCCATTGCGTTATTACACTGCGATGTAACACTGTCGTTCCTTAATAGGATCGTGTTGTTACACATACGAAATATTTTTTTGTCCTCACAATTTTTGGTTGTTTGTTTTTGTGATTTTGTTGAAATATCAAGGATTCTATGGCATTTTTTTGTGGCAAATTTTGTTTAAATTTTAAAATCGATTTTTTTTTTGTGATATATTAGTTACCGGATTTAATGGTTTGGTGCATAACTTTCGCTTGTTTCCAAATGTGATTAGTTACCCATGTTTTTTGTGATATATTAGTTATCGATTAGTATTATTTTATCGGTATTTTTGTCATTCACAAAAATAAGGGATTTATGTAAAAAAAAAAAATATTTACCAAGTACTTTTACATAATTAAGTGTTATATTCGATAATGAAATTTGAGGGTGAGTCCCCCTAGATGGACTTATAATGACTTGAGTCCTGGAAGTAAACTTATTTGAGGGTAAGTTCATGTTTAAACTTATATGTAGGTACTTAAGTCCACTTATTTTTTAAATCTCAAAATTACTCCTAATGGTATTAGTTTGTCTAGTTATGAAAAGCCACATAAGTTAGATCATTCAAGTATATATGAAAACTTTTGATTGAATTATATATATAAACCGTTTATTAAATATTATGATAATTAACAAAAGTTTTATATAGAAGTTATATATTGTGATAGTTATATATGAGAAGCTTCATGTACGAATAAATTATTAGTATATTAAGTCAAAATTAGATCACAAAATTTCCTTAACAACAGTAATGCATAATATGAGGAAGCTGAACAATGCCAACAGAGTTCAGTAACACAAATGTTAATATGTAGTAACATTTATGTTACTATATGATTGAAGTTATAATTAGGGTCGTGTTATCAGTACAGTCGTGTTATTATACTGACATTAATGCTCCGTTTGGTACGATGGAAAAGTGGGAGGATAAAAAACTGAAAAGATGAAAAGTTAGAGGGATAAATAAAACATCATGTTTGATAAGGAATGATGGAAAAGTGGATGGATTAACTTTCCTTCCAACTCACCAAAATTAATTCCTTCAAAATTGGAAGGAAAGTGGATGAAAAATTAATTATTTGTGTTAAGATATATCTTATTTGTTTATATATCTTATGCATACATTAATTTCATATAAAAATACAATGGTAAAATATGTATATATATTTTAAAAAATTTAAAAAATTAATTTAAAAAAAATAAAAATAAAAATTTTAAGTTAAAAAAAAATATTTTTTCCGTATTAACTAAGGGTGAAAATTTTCGACTCAACACGATGACACGACTTTAACTTGATACGAAAATAAATAGGTCAATTCGCAACTCGACACGACACAATTAGTTAAATGAGTTAAGTTAGGTTTGACTAATATTCGACACAAATTCGTAATAACTCAACACGAATCTGTCACGACACGACTCGACTCTATTGTCACCCCTAATCTTAGCCAACACAAAAAAAAATATTTATTTTTATTTTCCATCCATCCAACCAAACACAAATGAAGAAAAGTATATCCTTCCTACTTTCCATTCTTGAAGGATAGAAAGTGTATCCCTCTTACTTGTCATCCTCCCTACCAAACGAAGCATAATGTTATTATAGTGAATTTTAACATACAATTACAAACCTTGAGACGTATATTATGTAAGATACAATTTAATATTCACAGTAAGATTAAAACTTTGAGCTCAATAACACATCTAATTTTACAAAATACAATAAAATAGTTTTTTTTTATAGTAACATCAACTTTAGAATGATTTTAGTGAAAATACGATCTACAAATTAAAAATTTATAAAATAACAAGTAGTAACACACAATCGATAGTTGAATTACGACACTCAACACCAATTGTAAACATCATGACATCGAAATTTTGAACTCCATTTTTCGATTCTCGTACAGTAACATCAACTTTTTTCACAATAACACAACCAAAAAATACTCGATCGTCTTGCGCAAAAAAAAAATCAACAAAATCTACATCTATAACACTTTAATTTAATACTAATATATGAGTTATCTTGAATCTTGGTTACAAGGTTAATGCCCACTTTGACAAATTAAATCCTTAATTGTTATTACTTTTTTACCATGTTATTATTTTTTTTAGTGATCATGTTACTTTCTTTGTTAAGTATATTATTATTCTTATTTTTTAAATATTAATATTCAATATTAATATTTTCTCGATGGAGTCCAAAGTAAATTGAAATTATATTTTATGGAATGTAATAAGTTTGAAATTTGAGTATGAACGGTTTTTGATAAATGTCAGTTTCTCATTTTTTGGATAAGGAAATATTGTGACTTGGAAGATTGTAGCCGGATTTGAAAGTGATTATGAAGGAAATGTATATGGCTGATTATTGTGTCTATAAACGTCTTTTATAACATTCATACATTTAAGGGTTACAATAGTAAAATTGACAAAAAACGGATTTAAAACCAAACAAATTTTCTTAACCAATTTATCTCCAAATAAATTCATATGGGGACCACTAACCTTTAAAAACCCCCCAAAAAAATATTTTTTTGGGCCCACGAGCCATTGCTGAACCTTTTAAGGGCAAACACGGGGCATGGCAGGGACCTGCCCAATTGCCCTTAGCCCATCTAAAATTAGAAGTGTTCACCCTATCTCACAGGCAGAAATTACACTATTTCATATTCTTATTGGATATTTTATGAAAGAATTTTTTTTTGACCTACTTTATCCGATTAAGTGTACTATTCCTACCCGAATTTCGTCCAAAATAATCGGGTAAGAAGTCAGTTGAATACATATTTTTTAGTTATTAATTTTTGGATCATTTTATAAATTTAATCAAGTAACATGCAACAATTAACTAATACAATAAATCATAAATACTAAAAAAATAATAATAAATTTAATAATATATAAATAATTACAATAAAACACAACCAGAAAACCATAAACATCAATAAAAAATTAAGATTTCTCGATTTTTGAATTTTAATTTTTAGGAATTAATATATATAAATGCTATGCGAGTAGAGTAGGGTATGAATACAAAAATTTTGTAGGTATTTCACATTCTTACTCGATTTTTTGCAAAATAGCAAATGATCTTTTGATGGCCTACCCAATTATTTCGAGTAGTTGATCAATAAAGTCGGATAGAATAGGATAGGATAAGATAGGATCAAAATTTACGGATAATTAAAAATTTAAACACCTCCTATNATAGAATAGGATAGGATAAGATAGGATCAAAATTTACGGATAATTAAAAATTTGAACACCTCCTACCTAAAGCTAATTAAATGTAGGCTTGGCTGCCAAATTCCAATCCAAGTAGAATAAACTATAAAGTCTGTTCGCTTAATTAACTCCGGAAACATCCACTTCAATTTATTCTACTCCATCTTCGCAAGGCGCTCCTTTCTCTTCTTACTCTTTTTTTTTTTTTTTTTTTGCAGGCTAGAGATGCATAGAGCATCGCCCAAAAGCTACAGCAGTAAACACTACTATTTATAAGCCTTTGGAGGCACTGTACCGAAAAAATATGATTTAAAAGTACTTTCAGGAATTTACTTTTTTGTTCTTACGACTTAGGAGTGTCAAACTTGTCGGGTTAAACGGGTGACGGANCTCCTCGGTCGCTGGTGAACTTTGCCGACCTAATCACGGTTTGGAGATTCACGGGTGACAACGGATTTGGCCGGGCTGCCCACATCCTGCTGAATTATACCCCAGGGTATAAGAAATTTTCTCAGCTTCCTCAGCCTTTTGATCCTTCGCGGTGGTCTGAACTCTTCGATCAGGCGGCGAGGTTAGAGGTTGAGGAAAACTTGGAGGAAGACCCGGATCGGGCTTCGGAGGCAGAGGTAGAGGGAGTTGCTGAAGAGCTCGGGGTCAGAGAGGACGTTGTTCCTTCGGACGCCGAGGTGGGGACTTCGGGAGGAGACTTGTGGCCAGACTTCCAAGTTGCCCAAGCTACACCTGTTGCCGAAGTACCTCTCCTGCCTGCTCCAGAAGCTTCTCAACCATTTTTTGCCGACTCGCCCTCGGCTGATGTTCTGGAGATGTCTGGAGCCAGATGATAGCCCATTTTTGCTTCTTTGATTGTACCCCTTTTATTTTCTCTTGTAGCCTTTGGGGACGCAAAGCCCCTATTTCTTGAAATAAATCATGAGTATTTCCCTTTTCTGTGTACAGTAATATTTTTTTTTTTTTCTGTCTTCGGGGCTGCTTGCCCAATCAAGAGGCTTGCTCTTGTATTTGCTTCAGGGACAGGAGTCCTTGAACTCTGTCCCCAGGGCCTTACCCTTGCAGGAGGCTTGCTCCTGTGTTTGCTTCGGGGACAGGAGTCCTTGAACTCTGTCCCCAGGGCCTTACCCTTGCAGGAGGCTTGCTCCTGTGTTTGCTTCGGGGACAGGAGTCCTTGAACTCTGTCCCCAGGGCCTTACCCTTGCAAGAGGCTTGCTCCTGTATTTACTTCGGGGATAGGAGTCCTTGAACTCTGTTCCCAGGGCCTTACCCTTGCAGGAGGCTTGCTCCTGTGTTTGCTTCGGGCACAGGAGTCCTTGAACTCTGTCCCCAGGGCCTTACCCTCNGTAGGTATTTCACATTCTTACTCGATTTTTTGCAAAATAGCAAATGATCTTTTGATGGCCTACCCAATCATTTCGAGTAGTTGATCAATAAAGTCGGATAGAATAGGATAGGATAAGATAGGATCAAAATTTACGAATAATTAAAAATTTGAACACCTCCTACCTAAAGCTAATTAAATGTAGGCTTGGCTGCCAAATTCCAATCCAAGTAGAATAAACTATAAAGTCTGTTCGCTTAATTAACTCCGGAAACATCCACTTCAATTTATTCTACTCCATCTTCGCAAGGCGCTCCTTTCTCTTCTTACTCTTTTTTTTTTTTTTTTTTTGCAGGCTAGAGATGCATAGAGCATCGCCCAAAAGCTACAGCAGTAAACACTACTATTTATAAGCCTTTGGAGGCACTGTACCGAAAAAATATGATTTAAAAGTACTTTCAGGAATTTACTTTTTTGTTCTTACGACTTAGGAGTGTCAAACTTGTCGGGTTAAACGGGTGACGGATAAAAAATATATAAACTCGTACACGACACGTTTAATAAACGGGTAAAAAATCTCAACACGAACACAACTCATTTAATAAACGGGTAACACGACACGACTCATTTAACCCGTTTAATTTTAAAAAAATTATATTAACAAATTTTAATACTCCACTTTTTTTTATTGTCAATTACACTTACCTCAAAAAAGAGAAATTTTTAACCAAATTTCATAAAAATAAGATTTGAAGGCTTAAAAAAAAAAAACAAGAGGCAATTATTTTTATAGGCAACTCAATCCTCTCCGTCTCCCCTCATTTTCTAATGTGGGACAAAAACAAAAAGCATTGGTTTGACTTTTTTTTGAAGTGCTCCTCATCTCCTCTCTTTTATCTTTAAATTACTATTTTACTTCTTTTTTTCTTGTTAATTTTTTAAAATAATTTTTAATTATTATTATATTAATTTTATTTAAACAGGTAAACGTGGATTAAACGGTTTGACAGGTCTCACCCAAACACGACTCATTTATTAAACGTGTTTGACGTTTCAACCTGTTTATCACCAAACCCATTAAGATTTCATCTACATCTACTTAATTCGTATCAATTCGTGTTAGTTAATCGTATCGTGGAGAATTTTGAAAGCCCTATTACTACTTGGACAAAGACGGATGGAATGAAAGATATCGCGTAAAACAAGCAACACAACAATGAGGGATTCAACCCTGTCCACCAACCAAGCAAAGCCAGTCAGTCAACAAAGATTGAACCCAACTCTCCCACTTTAGAAACCTTTTGGTTTAAATTGAGGCCCAAAAACTGTTTCCGACCAGTCCATGAAACATGAAATGCCACTAGTCCCAGACTCCCAGCCTAGTTTTAAATGTGGCAGTAATGGGTGGTAATCATGTGTGGGACGACATGGGTCGGGTCGGGTTAGTTTGAGTTCGTATTAATAATTAATTAATTTTAATTTAATTTTGTTAATTAATTATGTTGTATTGTGTCGAATCGATCTATTTATTTTCTTATTATATTTGTGTTGACCCATATAACACAAATAAAAAATTTAACATCAAGTTTTATGTCTAAAATATTATTATAACTTAATCGAGCATACATTTTTTATATACTAAAAATTAACTTAATAATTAGAATAATAAAAATATCTTTTTTTTACAAGAATTAGTTATAAAATATAATAAAAATTTAGTATGTTATTCTTATAATACTAATTAAACAAATTAATCGTGTCAATTTTGTGGTGTTCGTATTTGACTCTAACCTAATCGATTTATTATTCATATTAATATGTAGTGTCATATATAAGTTTATGTCTAAAAATGATGAACCTTACCCCATTAATTTCGTATCAATTTTAAATTGTGTTTTCATATTTTGTCAGAAGTCGTCACCCTGGAGTACGGATGAGAAAGTGATNGAAATGATTAACGTTAATCCATTAATTTTGTATTAATTTTAAATTGTGTTTCCGTATTTTGTCAGAAATGGTCACCCCTGGAGTACGGATGAGGAAGTGACTGGAGCCCACAATGCTAATGACAGGCACATGCATGGTTGAAGTCTGGGAAAATGCTATTCTACCAAATTTATCAGCAAGAAAAAGTCTTGCATTTAGAGCTAATAGAGGATAATGACGGTCCATAATTACAATAAAATTAGAGAAAGAAATGATCAAATTTGGGTCCTTCTAAATGCTAATAGGTTTGTTTCTTAATTTTTTTCAATGACAGATCACACGACATTAATTCAAATGAGACTCATTATACATAAAAAGATCCTTAATCTTCCGTAAAAAAAAACCGAGAAAACATATTGAAGAAGATCTCAATCCAAATCGATCGCACCCTGCTCTTACAAGTTGTTTGTGTTCTGAGTGGCCCCTAACTACCCACTTTCCATGTTGAAGCATCTTCTTCAAAGCAGTCACAATGAATTGGTATCATCTTACTATAACTGTCTTCACATAGGATTTATATACTCATAATCTTGGAAACAAACAGAACATGTAAGGAGGTTGTATAAACACCAAATATGGAGCTGGTCATTGAATGTGCTTTTGATGATCTGCTTCTCTGCTATGCTCAAGGGGGGCACCTAATTCTCTCTTGCTATAGACCTTTACTAATCATCAGGACAAAGCTTCAATCTCCTATCCAAATGTAAATCTAACCGTTTTAATCCCAGAAAATACCAATTTTTCTCTTGCAATGGGGCATAACTGAATTCCTAAGAACTGATTATTAACTATATATCACTGCTAAATGAAGTAAATTAAGCTCCTTCATAGAATGATGATGATCTGTGGAATAAGGAAATACAACACCAGCACCTTCCTATACCATAATGTGCAACAATATGAGTGATGAACTTAGAGAGGCAACCATAGGAGGTTAACCACCAAGAAAGAAAAACTCAAATGCTGCAAAACATGATTAAAAAGAACATATTTACTGGATGTATTTCATTTGGTAAACTTAAAACAGATACATATATTTTACTATGCTAGTTGAACATAAAGCCACTTACCCAAAAAAAAAAAAAAAAGAACATAAAGCCAACTAAAGTCCATCTCCATTGTGCACCTTCTTGCCATGTCTGCTTACACGGTGCAACAATCCAAACCCTTTGAGTGCCTTGGAAAATCTCACAAGATTAGGCCTTCCCATCCCTAAATTCATCTTCCCTGCTGAGAATTTCAGAGCTTGTAAGCAACACAATTGCCCATCACTCTCTTCTTCTTCCTCCTCATCATCATCATCCTCAAAGTATTGTCTCTCTCCTTTCTTCTTCTTAGTGTTATTTTTCATCTTGGCCTTATTTGAATCCATCTCATAAGTCTCCCACAGCAAATCCATCCCTTCAGCACCTCCATCCACACACTGTCTTTCCTCAAACAGCTTGCATGCCAATGTCTTCTTCCACTCCTTTTCCTTCCTCATTGATCCGTAAGTCCCAAGATTATAACCCAACAATGGCGAACTCTCAACCTTTGAAATGTTCTTTGAATCGTATCCTCCACCATTAACTGTATAATGGGTTATTTTATTACATATTGCCTCGGATCCGTCTCCCACCACTGACCCTTTTCTGCGTTCTTCAACAACTTTCTCGGACTCCGAGTCCAGTGGCTCAACTTTCTTACCTTCCACATGACGTGTCGTTTTCATTTTGTCAAACACATCAAGTTCTTTCAAAAAGTCTTCTAATCTTTCGTCCGCCATGGGAGGTCTTGTAGTTTCCATATGAACAATCTCAATCTGTTTTTCCTCTACAGTACTGGAATCGCCATGAGGTTGTTCAACAGCTTGCAAGCAACTATCTTGTAACATAGAGGTGTCGAACACAGCCTTAAATGCTTCAAGCTCCTCAATGCAACGAAAATCTTCACTTTCATCGCCTTCCTTGTACCTCAAACTTTCCAAAACGGTATGGTATGTGGTAAGGAGAAAACTCTCCTTCCTTTTGAATGATTCAGGGGAAGATGAGTTGCCATGGATGAAGCTGGGAGAGAGAGTGAGGAGAGCCAGAAGGAGGAGGGAAGTGGTGATGAAGAGAGGAGAGAGAAAGGAGAGAAGTTTGAGAAGGTATGGTGAGAAGAAGACAAAGTATAAAAAATATAGAGGGTGAGAGAGAATGAAGGAACCGAAGAGGAAGAAGTTAGAGATGATGAGAGTGGAATATTGAGTTTTGGAATTGCTTGAAAAGTACAGCTCAGACATTTCTCTCACAGTGTAGAGAGAAATACTACAGAGATTGATTGTGAAAGGATGGAATTGGAAAATATGCAAGATGGTGATGGACTGATGAAGAAGAAGAAGAAGAAGAAGTGTCTGGTCTCTTTGTTTTCTTCTGACAATAGGAGAGAAGTGACCGTGGAAGTGAATGCGGCGTGATAAAGGGGATGGAATTGAGAGAGAGAGAANCTCTCTTCTTCTTCCTCCTCATCATCATCATCCTCAAAGTATTGTCTCTCTCCTTTCTTCTTCTTAGTTTTATTTTTCATCTTGGCCTTATTTGAATCCATCTCATAAGTCTCCCACAGCAAATCCATCCCTTCAGCACCTCCATCCACACACTGTCTTTCCTCAAACAGCTTGCATGCCAATGTCTTCTTCCACTCCTTTTCCTTCCTCATTGATCCGTAAGTCCCAAGATTATAACCCAACAATGGCGAACTCTCAACCTTTGAAATGTTCTTTGAATCGTATCCTCCACCATTAACTGTATAATGGGTTATTTTATTACATATTGCCTCGGATCCGTCTCCCACCACTGACCCTTTTCTGCGTTCTTCAACAACTTTCTCGGACTCCGAGTCCAGTGGCTCAACTTTCTTACCTTCCACATGACGTGTCGTTTTCATTTTGTCAAACACATCAAGTTCTTTCAAAAAGTCTTCTAATCTTTCGTCCGCCATGGGAGGTCTTGTAGTTTCCATATGAACAATCTCAATCTGTTTTTCCTCTACAGTACTGGAATCGCCATGAGGTTGTTCAACAGCTTGCAAGCAACTATCTTGTAACATAGAGGTGTCGAACACAGCCTTAAATGCTTCAAGCTCCTCAATGCAACGAAAATCTTCACTTTCATCGCCTTCCTTGTACCTCAAACTTTCCAAAACGGTATGGTATGTGGTAAGGAGAAAACTCTCCTTCCTTTTGAATGATTCAGGGGAAGATGAGTTGCCATGGATGAAGCTGGGAGAGAGACTGAGGAGAGCCAGAAGGAGGAGGGAGGTGGTGATGAAGAGAGGAGAGAGAAAGGAGAGAAGTTTGAGAAGGTATGGTGAGAAGAAGACAAAGTATAAAAAATATAGAGGGTGAGAGAGAATGAAGGAACCGAAGAGGAAGAAGTTAGAGATGATGAGAGTGGAATATTGAGTTTTGGAATTGCTTGAAAAGTACAGCTCAGACATTTCTCTCACAGTGTAGAGAGAAATACTACAGAGATTGATTGTGAAAGGATGGAATTGGAAAATATGCAAGATGGTGATGGACTGATGAAGAAGAAGAAGAAGAAGAAGTGTCTGGTCTCTTTGTTTTCTTCTGACAATAGGAGAGAAGTGACCGTGGAAGTGAATGCGGCGTGATAAAGGGGATGGAATTGAGAGAGAGAGAAAGAAAGAGAGAGAGAGAGTAACTAACAATGGCAGCATTTGCTTTAGAAACTTTTATCCTCTAACCACCATATATTTTGCCTTTCTGTTTTCAATTACCTAATTATCCCTATAGAGTTTGATATGTTAGGACTTGAGTTTGGATTCTTGTTTTAAGGTGACTCGGCCCAATTCGATTGTGTCATTAACTCCAAACAAAAATAACTACCTAGTCAAATCAGAATAAAAACGCATTTATCTTCCACATGCAATTGTTGTGACTGTCTAACCTTGTACTATTTGCCCAACGTGACTGGATTAATCAACTAAGTCGATATTATATAGGTGCATTTTTGTAATTTCAACCCAAAAATAGAGCTGGTTTTGGTACGGAAAAACGACAGTTGATTGAGGTGGGTTACAGGTGAGATGGGTTTCACATGGAAAACCACTCATGCCCACTCGAGTACATGCCATGCATGCACCCCATGGGATTGGCTTTTCATTTTAAGGGGGACCCACATGTCTGTTGTTGCCTTTGTAATTATTCTTCAAGAGTAGTAACAAAAAATTATACACTTTTTTTTTTTTTTTTTGGCTCCCTAAAGAATATAAGGAAACAAGGACAACTTTATACAGACTAACCATAATAACCCCACCAGCTACTGAGGTGGTCGAGTAGCATACCAGTCAAATTTCTCAAATTGGGATTGAAGGTTCAAATTTTATTAAAAGTCAGCGTTAAAATTCGATAATTGATCATTATATTAAATTAAATTCATCTATGAAAAAAGTAATGATACTGTTAAAGATCTCATAATTCCACTAATAAAAATTTATTTGAGTAGTTTCTAAATACTTTTCTCTATACCACCCTTTCCTCTTGGGCCAAAAAAAAAAAAATCATAATAACCCCGGCATTTTGCTGTTGACTAAGGGCCACTGTCCCACCATTGAGGTAACAAGTCTAATCTTATCATCCCATTCTCTTCTAATAGTGTAGGATAAAAAAATAAAAATAAAAATAAAAATAAAAAACCATAACTTCCGTGGCTATATTCCACCCAACCCTTAAAACCAAAACCACATGCATCTTTTCCTCTTTTTTAGAATATTTTAGCAGCTACAACCACCATGGTTCATTCAATATGATCTTACGTTTAGCTTAGCCACTTGGCGACAACCATTAAACACATTCAATATATTCCAACCACTGAACGGTTTGCTGCTTAACATATATGCATGTAGCATCAGCAGCAACTTGACCTTTGCACAAGAAGGAAAAGGAAAGGTCTTAACGCAGATTTTCTTCTCAGTATAGACACATAACTTGGTAACTTTACATGAAAAGAGCTTCAACCAGAAAGCATGATCTACTTTAAATACAGAAAGCTTATAACAGGCTAGAAGTCATTAAGGCACAAGGTGCCTGAGCAATTCCAACACAGTCCCACCAATACAGAGATGAAATTAGAAAATCAAAAGTTCAAGTCTTAGCACAAACCAAAATCACTTTTATACAGCTGCAAGATCCTACCCAATGCTAATGCCTAAAAGAGGTAGCCTTTACTCTGTCATAACAGGCTTATTCTCGCTTGCCTTTGGCTTCTGATCTTTTGGCTTCTGCTCTTCAGTTTTCCTGGATGTTCCCCCCCAAAAAAAATTGCATTGTGTTAGAAGCATGTTTAAGAAAACAATGCCAACATAACATACAAGTATACAACCAATTAAGCTTCTCTATGAGAACATCATCAAAAAGTGGGTGCCAATTCAAGCGTTATTCAGTAAAATGCAAGCCATTCAATCCAATTAAGACATAGATTCACCTATATTCTATCAACCCACAATGCTTGTTTTGTCCAACAGTAAGTTTCAAAATGGAACCAAACAACCCTCTTCAAGTAGCTTGCCATGTGGCACAGATGGATATTAGCGCGAGTGATAACTGACAGATACAGCAATATGTATAATGCATAAACGACTTCTAGTCACAGATGATATGATGAACCTAGATTTTCTACCACAATGGCACAGTAAGATGCTACTATTGTATTATCAAGAGGATTAGTTGCAAAGGATTGCATTCAGTAATCTATCCTTTAACATCTACTATGTAACCATCTCAGACCATTGTTGAGGACACTGTGAACTTAATACAAGAACTGGTCGGTAGTGACTTTTGCCACTATTGTATCACACAGAAATAGCTTAGTGGTGGAGTATAGCCTTGCCAAGATCGAGGTTGAGGGTTCAAATCCCTCCAGTTGTGCTTCGNAAAAAATAAAAATAAAAAACCATAACTTCCGTGGCTATATTCCACCCAACCCTTAAAACCAAAACCACATGCATCTTTTCCTCTTTTTTAGAATATTTTAGCAGCTACAACCACCATGGTTCATTCAATATGATCTTACGTTTAGCTTAGCCACTTGGCGACAACCATTAAACACATTCAATATATTCCAACCACTGAACGGTTTGCTGCTTAACATATATGCATGTAGCATCAGCAGCAACTTGACCTTTGCACAAGAAGGAAAAGGAAAGGTCTTAACGCAGATTTTCTTCTCAGTATAGACACATAACTTGGTAACTTTACATGAAAAGAGCTTCAACCAGAAAGCATGATCTACTTTAAATACAGAAAGCTTATAACAGGCTAGAAGTCATTAAGGCACAAGGTGCCTGAGCAATTCCAACACAGTCCCACCAATACAGAGATGAAATTAGAAAATCAAAAGTTCAAGTCTTAGCACAAACCAAAATCACTTTTATACAGCTGCAAGATCCTACCCAATGCTAATGCCTAAAAGAGGTAGCCTTCACTCTGTCGTAACAGGCTTATTCTCGCTTGCCTTTGGCTTCTGATCTTTTGGCTTCTGCTCTTCAGTTTTCCTGGATGTTCCCCCCCAAAAAAAATTGCATTGTGTTAGAAGCATGTTTAAGAAAACAATGCCAACATAACATACAAGTATACAACCAATTAAGCTTCTCTATGAGAACATCATCAAAAAGTGGGTGCCAATTCAAGCGTTATTCAGTAAAATGCAAGCCATTCAATCCAATTAAGACATAGATTCACCTATATTCTATCAACCCACAATGCTTGTTTTGTCCAACAGTAAGTTTCAAAATGGAACCAAACAACCCTCTTCAAGTAGCTTGCCATGTGGCACAGATGGATATTAGCGCGAGTGATAACTGACAGATACAGCAATATGTATAATGCATAAACGACTTCTAGTCACAGATGATATGATGAACCTAGATTTTCTACCACAATGGCACAGTAAGATGCTACTATTGTATTATCAAGAGGATTAGTTGCAAAGGATTGCATTCAGTAATCTATCCTTTAACATCTACTATGTAACCATCTCAGACCATTGTTGAGGACACTGTGAACTTAATACAAGAACTGGTCGGTAGTGACTTTTGCCACTATTGTATCACACAGAAATAGCTTAGTGGTGGAGTATAGCCTTGCCAAGATCGAGGTTGAGGGTTCAAATCCCTCCAGTTGTGATTCGTTGTTTTGTGGTAACAAGTGGATTGCATAAGCCCCTTTAGTTATAGGGGAGAGCCACAAGCAACCTTTAGCATAGGGTTCCAAGCTTGTGCTTCTTCAAAGTATTTAGCAAGCACACTACTGTAAAATGCCCTTCTTCCTAAAGCCAACTTTCTCCCTTCTTACTTTAGGTTTCAATAAGGATGCACTCATGCCCTTCCTTCGGCTCCTCACCCTGTCTATTCACCTTATTTTCAAACAGATATTTAGGGATCTCTCCTGTTCATATATGTTAAAACCAAATCAAAAAATTCCTACATGGTTGCAAACCTTTCTTACTAATAATAAGAAACAAGTAATTCAAATATTGAAGTTATCTCCTTCAATGAAAAAGATGAAAAGGTATTTGACTTCACCATGCCTGTAGCCTTGCAGGAAAAAAAAAAGGCAAATTTGAGGCCTCTCTATTGATATAATATTTCCTTCAATATATTCATACTCCCATCAGCTTCTAATCAAACCAACAAAAGCATCACATCAGTGGCCCCTAAACTAAGACTCCAGTTTCAATCAAGCCTTTGAACTAAATATTTTCTCCATTTTATCCCATTACCTTAGACATTGTTTCAATGACACATGAGGTAACCCGTAACAGTCGGCATGGGCTTGGGCATGTCTCTGCTGGTCCACCCCTGTTAACGGGGATAGTTTTCATCCCCATCCCTATCCGTGGGTAAATTGTAATCCCCGCTCCCAATACCCGGCCTAGCCCAAGCTCTAGCCAAAATTCTAAATAAATCCTATATTCTAAATAATCCAAAATAATTATACAATATCATAACATAATTAAAATATTGTCTACAACATAATCCAACATAATATAATTAAAACCTTGTCTACAAACATTATTCAATATAACATAAATAACAAAAGTCCAAAATAATAATTGAATATTTGTAATGGAAAAACTTTGCTGTCATGTAACTTCACACTTGTAATTTAATAAAGAAAATAAAACATTAAAAACTATAATAATTGCATAAAAAATATTTGTATTTGCTTTTATAGAACGTTACCTTAGTCAGCCGACAGCCAACGATCAATGGACAATGATGGAGAGATTAGGGGCCTTGGGTTTGATAGAGTTGGGTTGGGGCTCAGACGCTTAATGGAGGCAGAGGCGCAAAGGAGAGTGATTGAGTTAGGGTTAACTAATAGTGGTTTCGTTTGGGACTCAACCAACCTAGATTGCCAACAACATATGGGCATTGAGAGCCACCGTCTTCGTTCGGACAAAACTCCCAATTACCTCACACTATAATGAACTCATCCTTGTAACCTTGGCCGAATAGGCTAAGCAATGAAGCAAATGACTTTTTTTACTTAAGAGGCAATACTTGTTATCTGAACTTGGAACAGCCTTCTGATAGTTGTAGTCTAATACCTCCTAATGGGTAAGTCTGGCATTGTAAACTTAAGTTAACCTCATCATCCATCCAAGAATCCTAAAAGAGCTAGCACTAAGTTGGGACGCATAAAGGGCAGCTGCATGCGGAAGCTCCCTCACCAGGCTAAAGTCACTCTCGCTCCCAGATGCAACTTTCACCTCGACGATCTCGAGTATGTCAAAGTTCTTTTTGAATTCTGCTAAAGATTACTAGTTAGCCACTAGGTTATTGTAAATCCCTATAGCTAACACCCAAGAGGACTACCCAAAGCAAATCAATCAAGGAGGACTCAAAAATGGCTCAAAAGGTCCTAAAGGTCATCACTCACAATAGCTCAAGGATGTCGACTGCCAACTGGCACCTACCTAGCCAAACAACAACTAATCGATGCATTCCCGAGGTCCTAACTACTAACAAGCCCTCCACTTCCAAGCAAAACTGATGGGATGGGCGCAAAAACCGAAGAGCCTATTCTACAACCAACGCGTCAAGGCACCATCTGCTGATCGACGGCCTCCAAGCCCCACACGCTACCAACTGATTGGTCCCAATACACTCAAACACCGATTTTTGAATACCCAACTGACATCCCCAAGCTAAAGTCCAACCTCTCTCACCCAATAACCAAACCCAAAATGAATTTAGCCTAGTTTCAAATCAAACCCAACAAAACCAACAATTTTTCACAAATCTCAAATCAAGTTTGGCACATGCAAGAACATGTGAAGAACATTCAAAAATTCAAATGAGAAAACGAAGAACATTCAAAAATTCAAGTGAGGAAACGAAAAATATTCGAATATTCCAACAAGGAAAACAATTGGCATGTGGACTTGGCCATGTCTCTGCCAGTCGGCAGCCCCTTGGGCAAGTGCCTGCCGATTGGCACCTGTGTGGGCAAGTCCTTGCCGATCGGCACTTATCTGGGGGGAGGTCTTTGCTCGTCAACACTTGTTATCCAAAGCCACCATAGACCAACCACCTTACTTCCAAGTAAGCTATTACAAACTCTCTCACCCACCTTTGTTGGAAGACTCCTGCTCAGCTAGGATCAATCTAGAATCTAAAGTCCTAGTCTAACTCTACCTTGAATTCAGAAATTGGTGATAAAGGACTTAGGAACAAGAGTCCTACCCTAACTCGACCCCGAATATCTAAGAATTGGTGATGAGATCAACCGTATTACCACTTAGAGTTCGAGTTCTTTTGGAATACAGTTTCCTACCACTATAAATAAAGGTCTCTAGGTACTAGATAATCATGTCTTATTCACTACAAACTATCTTCGACTTGCTTTCTAACTTGAGCATCAAAGTCTCTTTGGCTGTCTCCGGCCATCGGTTCACCTAGCTATCTTTTGTCTTGCAGGTTATTCAAGGCTTCCTTATTGTCTTCTCCGTCCATACGAGCTGATGACTCATAGTGCGAAATTCTCCCCAATGGGCCCCTTCCATCTCATTTTCATCTCCTTATGGAACGGAATCATGTCATATGGATATTAGATGAAGCCCGTTGGAGGACATTCTCCAACCACCCTCTCAAAGGAAAAACAAGAGAGAGAGAGGGGGGGGGGAATTTTAGCCCTTTCGCATGGTTCTCTTCAAACTGGTCAGTGGTGGAAAACCAGCTGGGCAGTGGGGTGATGGTGTGGATATTGGGCAATGGATGAGAAAGATTCAAGATGGGAGCAACTGAAGAAGGAAGGAGTGCTGAAATCGACCCAAGACCCCCAATCAGTTATTGTCAATGGATTAACCATACCACCTTTTTTAGTTTCAAGTATATCAACGGACAAAGTGAAACAGCAAATTTCCCTACAAAAACTGCGGCCCAAAGTGTCGAATCTTACAATCCTACAACATTGTTACCATTAATCCAACAATGTGACTCCAAATCCACTTAAATCGAGGTTCATTCCAGCTAACATGAACGCAAACAAATCAAAAGCAATAAAAGATGAAACCAAACACCATGTATACGCCTGAAATGAATCCAGAAAACGAAAATATCAACGAGAACGAGAACGAGAGAGAGACGGTATATTACCTCTTATCGGATGAGCCTCCCTTCTGGCTGAGGAAGGATCTGAATAGAGGTGAATTCACGTCGTAAATCATCGCCGGCGATTCTTGGAGTCTTGAAAACTCAAATCCTCTCCGCAACCAGTTCAGATCGCTGTGTCAAAACGCCGCAACGGGTAGCTGACCATTTGCTTTTATAGGATGATAGCTAATCGGGTCGCTCAAGAACCCAACCGCATAACCCGACTCGTAGTAGAATTCGGAGTTTGGGGGAAGGAAAAGAAAACTAAAATAATTTCAAAAAAAAAGTTAGAATAACAATTAGTGCCTTGGCCAAAAAAAATAAATAAATAAAATAGTAGGTCATTATCTAAATTTCCTCCAATCAACACCAAGCATTTAAACCCAATCAACACCTGGCATTTACATCCAATCAACACCTAGCGTTTCTCCTCAAAATGAAACTGATGGGTATTGTTCTATTTAAAATACTTTGTAGGATAGAGTTGAGGAAAGGAAGTAATGTTATACATCCCACGTATAACGTATAAAGATGATGTATAAATCGGTCTCGTTTAAAATTAATAGTCCAGAATATAAATAGAGGCAATTAATGAACAATAAACATACAATTAATGGTAAAGCGGTAAACAAAGAAATAACACAGATTTACAATGGTTCGGTCTGGGTGACCTATTCCACTCTCGTAAACGGTGGTCTGAATCTTTTATTAATAGGTGAAATCGTCGGAGAGAGTATTCTCCAAGAGTATTACGGTGCTTAGAGAAGGAGAGAGGAGGGTGTATAAGGGGAGGTGTAAAAGCTTCGGAGGCGTGCCTTCAATACTGAGTGGANTCTCATTTTCATCTCCTTATGGAACGGAATCATGTCATATGGATATTAGATGAAGCCAGTTGGAGGACATTCTCCAACCACCCTCTTAAAGGAAAAACAAGAGAGAGAGAGGGGGGGGAATTTTAGCCCTTTCGCATGGTTCTCTTCAAACTGGTCAGNTCTTCAATACTGAGTGGACGTACATTATATAGTGAGGGTAAGGCGGTGACGTGAGTGAGAAGTCTTCCACAATTTTGGTAAGTACAATCTTAGTAGGATTAGATCTCCGTATCCCAATATTCTCTCACTCGTGTCTCTATTCCGTCGGAAGATGATCCTAATCTTGAGCTTGGACCTAGACTTGGGACTTACATTGGAGTGAAGAATGGAGGAGAGGAACAGGAGGGCAAGCCATGGGTGGTGCCCACTTGGAGACCATATGGACAGCGCCCTCCTTGGGGTACCCCTTGGGCGACACCCACTCGGGCCCCTTGGGCGGCGCCCCCTTTTGAGGATCCTTGACGCTTGCCTCTTGATGTCCTTTTGAATTTCCTCTTGATGAGTCGACCCAGCTCTGATTGGGTTCTTATTTGGGGTTTCTTGGTTTAAATTAATTGGGCTTGGCCCAGTCAATTTTGAACTTATCATTTGCCCCTCATGCCCCTAGCCTCTGACTTTTTTCGAGAGGAAAAGGTAGAGGTCATGTGCTTCGTTC